GCTGTCAACCAACTCCCTCTCAGAGGTGACCACGATTCACTCCACAGCATGTCCGAGTCAGGCAGTGGGCTCTTCCTATCGCTGTTTGAGTATACGCTGCAGTACAAAGATGCAGAGTTGGCCAAAATAATGGAAAGCATTCCCCACACAGCAACACACACCTCTCACGACATGCACAATGCCATAATAGAGCTAACAGCAGTTCATCGTCTCCGTCTCTACTATTTCTCTCCGAGTGCAGCGATGAGGAAGCTGCCATCCTTAACCAGTGTGCCTTTCTCGTGATTTACCAGTGTTTGTGCTGCCACGCACACAATGTTTCAAAAGTGGTTTCTATGTTGTCCTTTATTTGTGTATGTATTTGCGATAAGTGTGCATCTTTGCGCAATGCCGTTGGCCTTGCTGTTTGATATATATTGTGCCGCAGGCCCGCAGCGCGTGACGGTTTTGTGTGCCCTGCCATGAAAATCATATGCCCTCCCTTTAGATTTGTTCTGGCGCCGGGTCTGCCTCTATGTTAGATTATTTGATGGTGAGTGCTTTCGGGAGGATCTACTTGGATTAATTACTTTGGATGGACACACGACCGGTGAGGTGATGTTCCACAAAGTGGTTTCGTTTTTTAAGGAGCACAAGTTGGGATTGGATCGTATTAACATGCTTGTAACGGATGGGGCCCCTGCGATGTCGGGCCGAACACAGGGACTGTCCGCTAGGCTGGCAGATGTGGCTCCACAGCTGAGATCGCTGCATTGCCTCATCCACCAAAGCCTCATGTGCGCAAAACTGAGTGGTGAGTTAAAAAACACAATGGACTCTGTCATGGCGATTATTAACTTTATTCGTTGTAACTCCAGTTTACAGCACCGCCTTTTCCGCCAGATGTTGTCAGACATGTCAGCTCAATATAATGATTTGCTCATGCACAGTGCCATTAGATGGCTAAGCAAAGGAAACGTCTTGAAACGATTTTGTGAACTTAAGGAGGAGATCATGGCGTTTCTCCGCAATTCAAAACATAAAAAAGCCAACGCCTTTCTGTGTCTGATAGAGAATGATGAGTTTTACGCTGCTGTTTGCTTTTTGAGCAACATTTTCCAACATCTGAACCAACTCAATTTGGAGCTGCAGGGCAGAGATAAAATTGTTACACAACTTGTGGAGAGACTCCATGCGTTTAAAAAAAAGCTCACACTTTTTTTGGCGGATTTATGTTCAGGCAAAATGCTCCATTTTCCAACACTGCAGGTTTACAAATCACCGAGGTGATGACTGGATTTATGGACACATTGAAAACCAACTTTGCCACGAGGTTTGAACATTTCAGTCTCCCGACTGAAGTGATGAGATTTGTGAAGGACCCTTTCTCTGTGAATGTAGAGGGGGAGTTTGCACTGAAAGCAAAGGAGCTGATTGTGACATTAAATGAGGCGTCTTTACAACTTGAACTCATTGACATTCAGTCATCAGATGACCTGCGACAGTCATTTCAGCTGGCAGGTTCTGAAAAGTTCTGAACTCATGAAGTCAGCCACGAGAAATTCCCTCATTCAAGGGGTCTTGCACTTTTTGTCCTCACAATGTTCGGCTCGACTTACACCTGCAAATCGGCATTCTCACACATGAATGCCATAAAAACTAATAATCGCGCATCCCTCATCATCACTGTATGCGTATTGCCATGACAACGTATACTCCCGACTTCCCTGCTCTTGCTAAATCGAAAAAATGCCATTTCTCTCATTAGATGGCACATATCTGCCAAGTTGGTTGCATACAGTTATCACTATGTTAATCGAAAAAGGTTTGAGTTTTAAAAGGCTGTGTGTTGTGGTTTGGTAATTAATAAAAGTCTTTTGACAATTGTTTTTGCTTTTAATTAAGCAATTGATGTGGTATGGCTCACTTGTCTTTATTGTTATTATACCATAATGTGCACTGTTGTTTGTGTATGGCCCTAAATTGCTATTTTGTGTGAATTATTAGATCATTTAATCTAAATCTAATGATGTTGATGGTTATATTAGCTTCACATGTACTGAGTTCTGAACTTGCCATTTATAAAGGCCTTGGGGCTATGTTTGATTTAATTAAACAAAATATATGCACTCCACTATGCTGTTGTAGTCATTTAATTTAATTTCAAACCTTTATTTATGCAGGTGAATCCCATTGAGATCATTGATCTCTTTTTCAAGGGTGACCTGCTGTAGTATTTACTGTATCTGAAGCTCTTAATATGATTGCTCATATTTCAAGTCATTTTTTTCTCGGCCCCTTGCTTTGGATCATTTTCATCAACCGGCCCCCATTCCAAACTACTTGAATAGCCCTGGTCTAAACTAATCATTTGAAAAAGTGGGGGGGACTTGTCCCACCCTCATATAATGGCTGCGACGCCCATGGTTGTTACAGTAAATGAGACAGTACTGTATACTGTTAGAGACATGGTAATCTTATAGTTAAAAAGGCCCCACACTGCTAATATTCAGGATCATATTTGTATTTAGCGCCTCTATTGTTGTGACATGTTAACAAGCTTCAAAAAGGCCTTTATTCTTTTCATACTGCCTTTATACTGTATTTTCACCCTCTGTCTGCAACCCGAGCCCAGTCTGCTCTGATTGGTTAGTTGGCCGGCTCTGTTATGATTGGGCTTACGATAAGAGATATTCCACCCCTTAGCCTATCACGTACAAAGGTTTAGAGCGCTAGCCAATAGAAGCGCTATTGTTACATAGTAATGTCACTATGTCGATGGAGTGTACAAAGGACTACAATGGAGGCGTATCAGGCGGCGGTATGTGGAAGAGAAACTTCCTCTAGTCTGAACTTTGGGATTTAGGCCTTTTGAAGACCATTTACATGCACAAAAACCTGTATAACACAGGAAATGTAACTATATTTTATTATGGTGTCCTTAAAGATGTTTTGTTTTATATTAGATTTCTTGTTTTATATTTTATGTCTGCACCATGACATCAAGTCAATTTCCTCGTATGTGTGAACCTACCTGGCAATAAACCTGTTTCTGATTCTGAAATAACAGGAAAGGGAAAACCTAAAAAAAAGGCATAATAGGGCCTCTTTAATTGTGATGTTCTTTGGTCCAGATATCTCTCTGCAAACACTGACACTCATGAGCTGTAGATAAACTAGATAAAGACAGCTTTGCACACATCTTTATCATCTTAGTTTCCCCACTTCAGTCGTCTGCTCGCAAACAATCTCAGGTCACTAAACAAATGTGTTTCTGTCTTTATTCTGTTGGGGACTGCAGCAGAACTCTTTCCCACTGCACTGCGATTTGTTGCCCTCAGAATACCGCTGTTCTGTCTGTTAATGCTATTTATATGATGTTACTGGTGTTAGGTTGAGAGAGTCAATGAGCAAGAAAAGACTGATGTTGTGTCAACCCACGCACAACTGTTCTTCAGAAGACTGCATTTTTCACTCTGGTCAGAGGGAAGTGGCTCTTACGGCTCTCTATTTATCTTCAGTATCCCCATCTATAATCTGAACTTCTAGTGAGAGCAGCAAGGGCATTTGTTATCATCATATGAATTTCATGATGTATGGTGCTTTTATATGTGGCCAGAATTTAAATGTGGTAAGCTAGGATACATTTAAAGGAACTGTATTTACACCTCTAATTAAGTTACGCCATTAAATGCAGATACAGCACAACAGGAAGGAAGTTTCATGAATACTCATGGAGCCTGCGCCAAACGACTTCAAGAGTCCCATAGATAATGGATTTTAAGAGTATGCAGTGTGGAAGAGTTTAAAAGATGACATACTTGGACATATATAAAAAGTTAGCCATATAATTATGAGTTAAAGAAGAGTTTATCCAAGCAAATACTGTAGTTGATATGACTGACTGATTTAGTGTTTTAATATTGACCAATTAGGATTCAGCTCAGCTTCTTGTATTATAGTATGCACCTTCACACTGTGTTTGCCACCTTAAGCCCTGCAAATAATTAGTTTATATTCATGCTGGCTCCAGTTGTGGCTTGTGTGCAGTGGCACACACAAGGCTTAACTAGTGTAAATCTCAAGCTTGTTTTTCTTAGTTTTATTCTTCGCTCATCTGCATAATGCACTATGACACTTGCAATCAGGAGGGCTGTATTTGCATAGGCTGCTCGTGTTTGAGCTTCCTTGGTGACATGGCGGCAGTGTTTGTAATCGGTCGGTATTTTGACAGCCGCAGGAAGCCGCGCCGTCAGGGCCCGTATTCATGAGTACACAAGACAACAGCCGAGCTAATGGACGCCATGTTTACAGATTTCAGATAGTCTCTCATTAGAGCCAAATATCCTGGTGTTAGATTAGACTGAGCGAGAGGCGGAGGACGTATCATCAGGCTGAGAGGTTTGGGGGAGACAGGTGCCTGATTTGCTTTCTGTTTGCAGTCACTTGCATTTTGAACAAATTAGAGCTGCCCATAATCAGAGATACAAAGAAACATCCTGTAGCTGAAGTGGTATTTGATTTCAGATTGATGCTAAACCCTTACTATTCTCTGTTTTTATTTCAAGGGAAGTACTGTAAAAGTGCCACTGTGTATGCAAAGAATAATAATTCACTCCAGAGCCTCTCGTAACCGGTGGCTTATAAAGCAAATGTTGCAAGGTAGCTTCATAAATCTTCATACGTCATTGATGTGTCAATCTAGTCATTGGGTTTACTGTCAGCCCATCCAGGTGCAGTAAAGATTAGTGGGTCTGTTCACTGTCTGCTGTGAGAGGATGCCCTTGAGTGAGCAAGCAGGAGGACATCCAAACACCCTCAGGATGTCTGGACTCCTCGAGCACATCTTGATATACGCTCACTTGAGGCATTTATTATCTGTCTATATTGTTTAAATCAAATTGTATACAGTTGTGTATAACTTTGTTGTATGCTATTGTCATTTTATAACCCTGACTTACTTTCCAGGACAGCACACACTCTTAAATAACCTACTGCTACTTTCTCTTACTTCCTATCAGATCTCCACACTACGCCTGTCCAGAAGTCATCAGGGTGAGTCATTTTTCACTGAATCATCTTTTTTTTGCTTTTTCATCATTGCGTGTCATCTTATTTCAGCTCATCCTATCACACTGCCCTCACCCGCTAACAAACACTCTCTGGCCCTCAGGGAGAGAAGTATGATGGGAGGAAAGCAGACGTCTGGAGCTGTGGGGTCATCCTTTTTGCCCTGTTGGTGGTGAGTGTTTTTTGTACTAACTGATCCTGATTAGACTGACATACGAGTTAAAATTCTCCAGAGAAAAATGGCATAATACAATTTAATCATTAAGTGTTGCCTCCAGCTCATAGCCAGACAGTATGTCCAGCCTTTCTAGCAGCTGTAATGGATCCAAAGTAGAAAGCAAGTGAGCCCCGTGACAGGATTTTCCCAGCTTTGCACTAATGCTGTTGACTCAAGGTTGACCTTAATGGTGTGAGTGCCACAGAGCCCCAAACTAAAAAGTTATCCTCAAGCTAAAATAATTGCGTAACAAGGATCAGAGAGCAGAGGCATCTTTTTATTTATTTTACCCTGTATCCATAATCATGTATTTTCTCAAGCTACATTATGACTGCAGTTCTCCCGCCATGCAGCCCTGAAGCTTTGTTTCATCAACAGCTGTACTGTAGTTCCTACACGCTCCTGCCCAATGAATAATTCATACAACCAAATTGAAAGAAGAGAGCCCAAAATAAATACCAACACTGACATGGCAGCTTTTGGCCACAGGCCCTGTGTATTTGTCTTTGTTTTTTGCCTCTTTCTCCCTCCCGACAGTCTTCCTGATGTTTTTTCACCGTTGTCTCCGTTATGACCGTACTTTTCTCGCACAAAACAAAAGTTTCTCCCAACACTGTTTGACTGCAGATGAATTGTCTTCTTCCTGTTTGGTCCTGTCGTCTGGCTGCGAGATAACCATTTGTCTGATTGTGGGAGACGTGCAGTAGTTAAGATGCGCCAAGATCATCTGTTACACAAGCCAGCCTTTTCCCCCTCTACCACTCTTCATTTCTCAGCCTTTCTTTCTGTCTTTCTCCCCCTTTTCCTCTTTCTCTCTCCCTCCATCTTGTCTAGTGTTTTTGAGGTTGTCATTCATCAAACAGCCACATCTGTGAGGTGTCAGCTCGCTCTGATAAATGACTCTGATGATACAATGCTAAATGAACAAGGTAAATGAGAAAGCTGGGTAATTATTAGAAAAGCCCCGTTTTCAGCTCGCTGCTGTTTATTATTTATTTGAGCTTCATGTCTGAGGGCAGAATGCTCTAATTGGAGAGCTGAAGGAGTTCAGAAAGTCAGCCTGTTCTGCTGGATTTCAGACTCAAAATGTGATTTTGTTTCTTCTGGCAAGCCTTGTTAGTCTTTTACAGTATATTCTCATTTTGTTCTGCCCTCAATCGGGTGAAGGCTTATTGTTTGGTCTTATCCTGCCATTAGAACTAGCGCACACTTTTTCCACCCTGCTTTCATTTGTACATCTTGACTTATTTTCCCTGTTATCACGCTCTGCTCCTTTCCTCCTTCTCTCCAGGGTGCCCTGCCGTTTGATGATGACAACCTGAGGAATCTGCTAGAGAAGGTGAAGCTGGGAGTGTTTCACATGCCACACTTCATCCCTCCAGACTGTCAGAACCTCCTCCGTGGCATGATTGAAGTGGATGCCACCAAAAGACTAACGGTCAGTTCAATAGAGAGAATGGATGATTTTATTTGGATATTTCAGCATGCTTTTGGCTTTTTGGTTGTTTTTCATGCCTTGAGCTTGACTCCTAGTCCAACTCATGGAGATCTTCATTCTACATATTGTAATGCTACAAATTGCAATGATATTTTAAATAAGAGCGTTCACCTATGTAGCACATCTGTTGTAAAAGTACTTGAACTGGCTAAATGGGATCAAAATGTGCAGCCTAAAGACTAGCATAATGTCTTCTGAAAATGTGAAGGCTTTTAAATGCAGTAAAGGGGGGTAACTGTATATAAAAGGTTTAAGAAGGAACATTACAGTCATTGTGATTGACAACCATGTAGCTGTGGGTGTAATTATTACATATATTGCTCAGGTTACCCTTACAGCCATGATAGCCTGCACATATTTCTGAATCATGAGCCTCTACAATCTTAAGCAGTATGTGCTATGGCACATGGTACTCATTGCACCTCCTTATGCAAAATTCATATAGTCCCCAACCTGAATGATATCTCCATTATATTTCATTTCTATGGTCCCCGGCTTCTATATACTTATGATGTTTAGAAACAGAAAAATACATTTAGATGATGTTCGAGACAGCATGAATGGGATACAAAAATAGAAACCCAGACATATCCAGTCTGCGTTTAGAGAGGAAGATCATTATTTTGCAGATTCTGAGCAAACTGGGAAAACCTGTAAGGCTTTAAGGAGAAAGCAAGATGGCAGGGATATGCATCCAAACTAAAGTGGCTAATATCAACTTGCTGCCAAGCCAACCGTTGTCTTTTTCTTTGTTTTGTTTTTTTGCTCCTCTGTGTTCTAAAAATGTTTGCCTCTCCTCATCCCCGATTCTGTTGGAGTTCCTCTTCAAGTGCAGGATGTGAATTCAGGAGAGGACTTCTGTTGTGCGCTCCCTCTGCACTGTTTAATGTACTCTACACAATACCACTCCCTTTCCACACAGCACCTGATCACCTTGAAAAGGTGGCTGGAGGATTGGGCGAGAACACAGGGATGTGAAGGGCAGAGAGTCAGGTTGAGGGGGGGGGGGGAGAGAAGTGGACAAAGGGAAATGTGAATAATGAAAGTGGCCAGAGATCTAAAAAAGTACACGCATCGCGCAAAGATGGTGCTGCCCTTTGTTCTCGTCCACCATTTCACATTCAGACGACATGCAGAGACTCAGACACACTCACACGTTACTCTGTTTCTGCTCACACATAATAGAAGCTCACATTTTCACCCACACGTATAATGTGACACCAGGCTCTCCAGGTGTCTCTGTGAATCAATGCAGCAAACAAAACAGTTTTCATGCAATTGCCTGTTAGCAAATGTAGTGACACAACCCTTAAGTGGATGCTGATGCTCCATGTCCCCAAACCTCAGCTATCTCTCGCAGTGTCTAATATACTTAACATAACAGAAATGAAAAAGAAAACAGAAAAAAAAAGAGATGCTTATTTGCATGAGAGTTGACATATCTAAGGCTCAGCCCTTCAGATAAGCAGCGCTGTGGAAATATGAACTTTAAAGACCCCACCTCTTTGGTATGCTGTATGTTCGCTGTATGCTTTAATTTTCTGTCCTCTCTGCCTGACGAGGACGGGTCACCCTGAGATCCCACAGATATGTCCAGCAGCCTCCAGCGCTGTTCTCGACAAAGGGTTACACACACACAGGCCAAGCTGCGGGAGTGAATATGCTACCTCTCCGCCCCCCCCCCCCCCCCCCTTCCGTTCACAAGGGCTCCAAACTGAGCTCTGGGGATGTGTTGTAACCTCGCAGAATGTCAAATAGCACCGTTAGTGTGAGCATTCTTGGAGTCTTGAGATAAGGCTGGGAATGACATCATAATGTCAGCCAAGGGATTATATTTCATAATGGTGTTGACAATAGTTTGTTAAATTTAAGACGATAATCAGACCACAACTACTGGCTGTGTTTCAGTATGTCTATTGTCACCTCTGTTAATTACATTTTGCCAGTAGATGCACACAAGTGCACACAAAGCTAAGGCCCCTCGGAGTCTTGAGAGGGAGGGCACGTCGCCGGGCTTAAGGGGCTTAGCCCAATAAAATCCTTTCTCTTCATTTCCTGTCTGTGTAGTCAGGGCCCCGGAGGCAAATGGGGCCAGCCACCTCAACACAGTCATCTCATCTTCAATATTAAAATGATGGCAGACACCCTGGGAAGATCTGCGTCCTCCCGATCCCGAGCTAATGAAGAGGATTGGCCATCTTATTATATTAAAGAGCAGTTCATCACAGTCATATAGGCTAATACATTCATAGGGATGGAGTGGCTGCTATGAAAATAAAGGAAAATGTTGTGTTTCAAAATGACACTGTATTGATATAAGTGAATTCCACCATAGTCTGAGGCTGCTACTCTGCATGTACAGCAGGGTTAGTTTATCCTCATTTGTGTGCTCTAACAAACTCTGTTTTTAACACATTAGAGCATCAAAACACTTTTTGAAATAATAGAAAAAGGAAGAAGTAGGTCAATAATGATCTACAAAGGTATCTTATCCACCAGCCTTCACTAGCTTATAGTACAGTATGGTTGTATTTTACCTATTTTTTGTGTTTTTTAAATGCTGTGTTTTCCCAAAATTACAAATGTCTATGGCATAATAAAGTGTATATATCAATCAACAGGTTTCTAAAAGTCTGGAGCCCAAGGAGGTGTAAAATAATTTACTTTGCAAGACAAAACTGAAATGTAAGCTCACTATAGCTATAGCTTAGAAAATTGCATTATGGGGCACTGAATTTGATGAATTTACTGTTTATAAGACACAAAGATACAAACACAAATTATACATGAATTAACCACCTCTTCAGCTGTTTTCCATCTCATTCCCAAAACAGACATTTCAGTTAGCGGCAGTTACAAGTGCTCCCAATGACCTTCCTCATGTCCCTTCCTGACCTATTAACCGGCAATATGATGCAGACATGCATACAAGTTTTAGTACAAATGATTATTGCAGTTCAAAAACATACCTGAAAGCACAACCTCACACCTAGCTAAAAGCAGTATTGCAGCAGCATCCCCCTCTGCCTGAGTGAAAGCAGCTGGAATTGGTACTGTCACATTTAAAGACTGATTGATGTGATACCACATTTCAAACCCCATCACTTTCAACCCTGCGTGTGATATCAGTCTCTTGCCTCCAGGCCCTCAATAAAGGTGTGAGTAAGAGTAGGTCTCCCACTGGCCTGTATCTGACAGGCAAGGTGTCTCTGTCAATACCATGACCTCTGTGGGAGCAGACGAGATGCTCCTAGAGTCAGAAACCGCAGCCTGACCTGCTCTGTGTCTGCACTAATATCACATGAAGGCACTCATCAGTGCTGAAACACAGGGGTAAATCCTCTGGGGTGCTGGAAACACTGAGACATTAATGGATACACATACCCAAGAACTATGCCACTGAATAAGTGACGGTAATTAGAGCTGCTATGTGTATCTCCTGTGGTTCCTCAACAACAGCATGGGCAAATTAAAAAGTCCCAACAGTGACATTGATCCTGTTTTCCTCTGTGGGCAGTTGAAACACTTCAGAGTCATTTGAACAGACATCTCCCTTTGTTGCCCTTTTGCTCAGTGTTTCTGTCTCTTTCTGCTTTTTCTTTGTTGGCAAACACAGTGTTGACAGTGCTGGTGACAGAGTGGCCGCATTAAAAGTGTGATGACAAGAGTAGTATTGAGAGAGCGAGTGTTTGTGTGAGTAAGAGAAAGGGATATTCTCTTAAGACCAGAGGCAGGGTCAGCAGTGTGTGAGGGAGATAATATTCTCTGTTTATGGCTCAGTGGTATCACCTCTCTCTCATACTCCTGCTGCACCTCTCTGTGCCTCGCTCTTTTCTCAATACGGTTTTCTCATTGGCAATATTAATATTTGAAGGCTTCATTATTTACTTCCATCTGGCGGTATTGTCCTATTTATGGGATTCGTTTTGTTTCATAAAGATAAAGCAACACTTTCTCAGAATCAAGCAAAACTAAAATTTCAAGAGAAAAAAAAACTGAGTCAAGAAAAATGTATTTAGTTTAAAAAATAAAACTATAAGTTGCAAACAAATCATTTGTGTAATCATGTAAACGATGTCTTTTTTCTTTGATTTAACATCTCTTTTTGTTTGCAGTTCTCTTTTTTCTTCTTTCTCAATGATCAGACTTTTGCTCTGGCTGCAGCTCTCTGGTTTGCGCTCCTTCATTTTTTGTTTTCGATTCTGACACAAACGTCCCAGGTGGGCGGGACTTTCAGGGGTGCGTCCCCATTGGCTACTCAGTTTTAAAGTGACAGCCCACGACATCACAGATCATACAGTACAATTCATGCAGCAAACTCCAGAGTCCACTCGGCCACGTTAGTGTCGGTGCCTCCTGGGGAGTTTTCATGAAAATATCGGACTCATCAAGGTTCAAGGTTCTTCATTGTCAAACTAACATAGCTACAGAGTAATTATGTCATTGAAAATCTTAGGTCACAGGCTTCTCCAACAATGCAACACAATAATACAGATAAGAAGACAATATTACAGTATATTATATTAAAAGTAATACAAAAAAGAAAAATTGTTTAAAAAAAGTGAGAAATCTTATGGATTGCTGTGCATTATACTTGTGTTGTGTAGTTTATACTTTATTCCAACTTTAAATATTTTAATACCTGAACACACTGCTGCTGTAAAATCATTTCCCAATTTGGGATCAATAAAGTGTCTGTCTATTTATTTATTGATAAAAAAAAACACATCTACAGTATGTATTTTCAAGCTAAAGGTGATGCACAATATAAACTGTATACTGTTATTTGTTCAAAGACATGTTACATTTCAAAAGCATATATTGCTATGTTTAGGACAAACAATTAAAGACTGCTTTAAATTAACAAATTCTACAATATAAAAGTGGCAGATTTGCTTTATTAAACAGACCAGACCTAGGTTGCATACCAACACAATTAGGAACATGCTCACATCTTACTATGTTGGTCTGAAGAGCTGAAGCATTCATACACAATGGATACAAACTGTGTTGTCTCTGTCTCTGACTCACCTCTACTCACCGCTGGGTCACCAGACCCTCCTTTCACCCACACACTGACCTCCTTTTCCCCTCTCTCTCCAAGTGAGGTTCTTACCCTCATTACCTCTGCCCGCCCTACCACCTGTCCTCTGGACCCAATCCCTTCAAACCTCCTTCAGACTATCGCTCCTGATATTCTACCGTTTCTCACCCATTTCATCAACACTTCTCTAACTTCTGGTCACTTTCCAAACAGTCTCAAGGAGGCAAGAGTAAACCCTCTCCTAAAGAAACCCACTCTCAACCCGTCTGATGTTATAAACTACAGGCCTGTCTCTCTCCTCCCGTTCCTGTCTAAAACACTTGAACGCGCTGTCTTTAAACAACTCTCCTGTTATCTCCATCAGAACAACCTTCTGGATCCGCACCAGTCTGGTTTCAAGGCAGGTCACTCCACAGAAACTGCCCTCCTTGCTGTCACTGAGGAACTGCACACTGCTAAAGCAGCCTCCCTCTCCTCTGTCATCATCCTTTTGGAACTGTCTGCTGCGTTCGACACAGTGAATCATCAGATCCTCCTTCGCACACTCTCCAAGAACTTGGAGTTTCAGGCTCTGCACTTTCCCTCCTCACCTCATACCTCAAAGACCGCACCTACAGGGTTACTTGGAGAGGGTCCGAGTCCGACCCTTGTCAATTAACTACAGGGGTCCCTCAGGGCTCTGTTCTTGGTCCCCTCCTCTTCTCCTTGTACACAAACTCGCTCGGATCAGTCATTAGCCCGCATGGTTTTTCATACCACTGCTACGCTGACGACACCCAATTAATTCTGTCCTTTCCCCGCTCAGAGACCCAGGTCGTCGCACGCATCTCTGCTTGTCTAGCTGACATCTCTCAGTGGATGTCTGATCATCACCTCAAGCTCAACCTTGACAAGACTGAACTGCTTTTCCTTCCGGGAAAAGATTGTCCCACTCTTGACCTAACAATCAACATTGGCACCTCTGTTGTTTCCCCGACTCAGACTGCAAGGAATCTGGGTGTGACCCTAGATAACAACCTGTCCTTCACTGCAAACATAGCTGCTACAACCCGCTGCTGCAGATACACGCTTTACAACATCAGGAAGATACGTCCCCAGCTGACCCAGAAAGCGACGCAGGTTCTGGTCCAGGCTCTCGTCATCTCACGCCTAGACTACTGCAACTCCCTCCTGGCTGGTCTACCTGCATGTGCCATCCGACCTCTGCAGCTCATCCAGAATGCAGCTGCTCGCCTGGTCTTCAACCTTCCTAAATTCTCCCACACCACGCCGCTCCTCCGCTCCCTTCACTGGCTTCAGATAACTGCTAGAATCCACTTCAAGACACTGGTACTTGCGTACCATGCTGCGAATGGATCTGGCCCTTCCTACATCCAGGACATGGTTAAACCGTACACCCCAGCACGTGTACTCCACTCTGCATCAACCAAACGGCTCGCTGCACCCTCGCTGCGAAGGGGACCCAAGTTCCCATCAGCAAAAACACGTGGGTTTGCTATCCTGGCTCCAAGATGGTGGAATGAGCTCCCCATTGACATCAGGACAGCAGATAGCTTACACACCTTCCGGCACAGACTGAAAACTCATCTCTTTCGACTCCACTTCGAGCGATAGAACTATTAACAAAGCACTTATATACTAATAAAGGGCTGGCTTATCTAAAGCCAGTTGAGTAGCACTTGAAATGTTTTTGCTCTATGAAGCCTGATGTACTTATATGATTCTGTTTTCTTCAAGTTTGTATTTTGTTGGTCGAACGCACTTATTGTAAGTCGCTTTGGATAAAAGCGTCAGCTAAATGCAATGTAATGTAATGTCTCATTCTATATCCTGTGAGAAAATGATATACATCTAGCATTAAAAATTCGACATACTATTCCTAGCCTGAGGAAGATATGAATAATCAACAGGTTTGAATGGAATCTCTTAACATTGTCATGTAGAATAAAGAAAAAAGAGTGATTATACAAATTACATTTATTGAAATTTGAACCAGAAGATGAAGTCTCAAAGAATGTTTTAAATAAAAGGACATAAAACTAAAAGGTGGATAATAATAAAATCTATTAAATGTATATGTAAAGACATTTGGTCAAATGAAAGTGATAACAGCAACACCCAGCGTGGATGAAGATGGTGCAGGTCTTTCTTCATGGCCCCCCTCTGTGGATCTGATGCTCTCCCCTCAGAGGAAGTGGGAAAACGGGATAAGACCAGTGGCGACTGGTCATTAGGGGCAGGTGGGGCACAGCGAGAGCAAAAGTCTGATCATTGAGAAAGAAGCAAAGAGAACTGCAAACAAAAATATATGTTAAAACAAAGAAAAAATACTTATAGTGTACATGATTACACAAATGATTTGTTTGCAACTTGTAGTTTTATTTTTTTAATTAAATACATTTCTCTTAAACTCTTAGTTTTGCGTGATTCTGAGAAAGTGTTGCTTTATCTTTATGAAACAAAACTAATCCCATACCTATTGTGCTTCCACTGAGCCAGTAAGTTCAGGGTTAACTGATATCAAGGGTTTCTACTGGGAAACTATTGAATGTTTTTGTTGCCTTTTAATACTTTTTTTTTAAGATGAAGGATGATAAAATGAATGTGTACTAATCTGCTGTTTCTTTTGATTGATTTTACAGTTAGAACAGATCCAGAAGCACACATGGTACATGTAAGTACTCTGTCTTTCCTTCCTTTACACACCCTCTACTCTTCTCCTTTCCTCTTTTAGCATATCCTGCCGGGGTTGTAGACCTGAGGGGAGCCGCCACATGATAAATGGCTTTGGTTTTCAGCCCTGTACACGGGAGTACATTTGAGCAGGTCATGGCTCCACTCTCAGGGATGTGGGGGTAAATTGGTAGTGCACGAAAGAGGACATGCAGCATATGGTCAACTGTACAGGCAGCAGGGGTGTTGGTGTTGGAAAATGAACCCACGTAACCTCAATGTACCCTTAATTTAATTTAGTGTGTACCTTTTTGACCATAAATCTTCTGAGAACATTAATGGTTCACATCATCGTAAATTATGTTCATTCACAGCGTTTTCTTAATGGGGAATCAAAAGCATTAATAAAGGGTTTAAGGATAACAAATGGTACACTTGACACACTATTGATGTCTTGTAGGCTGACAAGCATTAGCAGATTATCATAATCAGAAGTTGCAGCTTACATTTTAAAGAAAAATAAAGATATTTAAGATTCTTACACAACAAGAGCAACAATGAATCATGGCAGGAGGTTGTGAGTCCTGGAAGGGGATGAGTTATGGTTTCTGTCCTGTACTGAAAGATCATGTGAACAGACAGCGGTGGTGATAGAAAAAACAAAAGGAGAGAAGAAGAGCTTGGAGAGAAGACTAATCTAATGTGAGGTTTGTCAGTGAGGAAGTTGCCTGGCTGAATGAATGGAAAAATGAATGAATGGATAAGATATTCTCTTTCAAATGAGGCTGTGTGGGATGCAGCATATCTTTCCAAATCACCCAAACTATTTTCTTTTTCAAAAGAAACAACATAATAAGGCCATCCTGTTTGTATTTCTGTGTTAATAATGTGTGCAACCCAGGGAATCTTTCATGAAGAATTTTAGTTCTTTGTGTTCAGAGAGGTATCGATGTAACTTTATAGTCATTTTGGAGCGTTTTGTTCGTGGTGTTGTCAATTTGAATTACTCCTATGCTCGGTACTTTTCTAAAAGAGTTTTAACAAAAGTTCAACCTATTATTATTATTATTATTATTACATGTCACTTGTTAGACGCTTTTATCCAAAGCGACTTACATACATTCAGTACTGTGGACAATCCCCACAGGAGCAATTTGGGGCGAAGTGTCTTACTATGTAGCTAGTTTATTGCAGGGCTCTTCTAGTATAATGCCTTTGGTGGACCTAATACATGGGCAACTATATGTAGTTTTAAGTGGGAGACATGTTTGGTTCATGTAAGATGTGACCGTATTTATTGTTCACCTCCACACAATTGCAACAAAGTGAAACAAGGTTGTGTGGGACTGCAGATCCAGTTCCCAGCTTATAGAAAGGTGGAGGTGCTGTGAATGAGGTTTACGCTTCACTGGTCCCACCATAGGAAGGAAATTATAAATTGGCATTGGAAAGTAAAGTAGGGGGTGTATATGTATGCTATGTAGAATAGTTTGTGTGTTAGCAACTTTGTATATATCCTTTTTTTGAAACAGACATCTATAATGTTCTAGGAATCTTCCAAAAAATTGATGTCAGTGTGGATTAGCTTTACATTTTTACTCCCAAAGAGTGCAGTCCTCTCTGTACACTCCCTTTATACAAAGTGACAAAAGAGAGACATAGAGAAGTGACATAACTAGGAGAGTGTCTGGAAAGAAGGAGGGGATACTCTAAACTTGGAAAGCAAACTAAACGAAGAGGGAGAGATACAAAACGTGCGATGACTCAGCCTTTTGTCTGTGTCTCGGGAACATGATGACCCCGGTTCAACCGCTAAAGCTCACGTGGAGAATGGCTCAACATGATGCAAATGCTGTGGAAGTTTCAAAGTAATGGCTCAAAGTGTCCATATTTGTGATGTTATTGTTTGCATTCGCAGTGCGGGGAAGAACGAACCGGAGCCGGAGCAGCCTGTGCCGAGGAAGGTGACCATCCGCAGCCTGCCCTCTGCAGACGACATCGACCCAGACGTCCTGGACAGCATGCACTCCCTGGGCTGCTTCAGAGACAAGAACAAGCTGCTGAAAGACCTGCTGTCAGACGAGTGAGTGAATGGAGGGGCAACAGGGAGGGGTGGGAAAAAGCTGGGATGAAGGACAACAGTGGAATCGAGGTGTGGTTTAGTAAATAAAAAGGCTTGAGTAAGGAGAGAAAAAGCAGAAGATGTGAGGGAGGGAAAAGTGAGGCAATGAGAGGACGGCACTGCAATAAAAGGATGGATGTAGAGGGTATGTGTGGACAGAGAGCCTTGGTTTTTCCCATCTCTTATGAAATCCTGTGAGGCGGTCTGTTTAGATGTCAGAGGTTGTAGAGCACTTAACTGTTATCACACAGTGCTAACACCGCTTGCCACTGGATACATTCCCCAAAACTGATCCAGGAACAAGCCCCTGGGTCACATTGTTTATGTTCTGCTGCTAATGTTTTTGTCTCAGTTAAACTTGTGTTTGTGCTCTTGTTAATATGCATTTATGCTGAGAAAATTTGCCTTGCAGTGCTTTTTAAATAACTACAAGCATACAGATGTTGCCGTTTCACTTCGCCTGCTTTTTGATCTCCTTTTACTCTATTCTACATTTGCCTGGCCTCTTTAATTTAATACTAAATAAGCATTATTCTATCACTTCTCCCTCTCCACATCTCTTCTTTTGACTTCCTTCGGCATCCCATAATAGTGCTGGACTGGAGGAGAATGGGCTGCCTCTATCTCCCTTCCCCTGGTTCATTTTAGCTGAAGTTGCAGGTCCTTGTCTCTTTACCTCCTACTGCTTTCCAATCTGTCTTTATTACCGAGGGCCAGTCCCTGGGGCTTCTGCATACAGATTATTGGCCTAGAGATATTAGGCTTCCTGATTTACAGAGAAAGAAAAGGACAGACTCATAATGTTTTGATACTTTCATAGAATTACCAGTAGACCCTGGGAATGGAGATACATCCTTAAAATATATGCAGAATATTTTATGATGGCTTAATGAGCTGTAAAACCAAACTTTTCTTTTCACAGGAAGCTGTTTAATAACTGTTTCACAAGGAACCCAAAAAGATTAAAGCACATTAATCATAGTGAGGGATTTATCAGTTTAACGCCTTGGCTTTGAGCTCATGCAGACACATGCTGGTGTCTATGGATTCCTCAGAAAAATATACCCATATTTCAGTTTAAAATGACCTAGGTTTGTTTAAACCATTTCATTTATATGTTTCAGTACACATTGTGTTGTCTCCACTTTGCAGAGACAACCAAGAAAAGATGATCTACTTCCTGTTACTGGATCGAAAGGAAAGGTATCCCAGTCAGGAGGACCAGAACCTTCCACCTCGCAACGAGATAGGTGAGGCTCAGACAAAGATAAATATATGTATTGCGGCAGTAATATTCCAAATAAAGTGCCGCGAGGGAATAAACATTGTGGACGCGCAAAAACTCAGTCTTTCCAACACTATTCGTTTGACCTTTTATTTCCAAAGCAAACATTCAATAGTCCATATTATCCATATGCGTATATTCTTTTATGCGTGCATGCGTGCGGTCAACAAAAATGGTCCTTCTTCAGCTCACTCCCCCTCCATCTATCACAAAGTGCGCAGGTAAAAGCAACCGGATATAGCCACAAACGTCACCACACAAATCCAATGACACGCCCACCACCTATCCTCCTGGGACCCAGCCCATTGAAAATGTCCACTGTAGTGGACATTTTGTTAACCTGCATCTCCTTTTACTCTTTTGAGCTACTCTATCAATCCCTGATGTACGGTACAGAGGACATCCTGGTCTTTCCAGTGATATGTCATTGGTTAAAATTGCATGCTGGGAAGTTCCTCTTTCTTTTCATCCAAAATGGCTGGCATACGAAAAACTAAATTGTATAGAAGCAGGAGGAGAAGTCAAATATTGTTGAATAATTGTAATTTTTACCATGAAAATCATATATATTCTTGTTTATTAACATGTGAGGAACTATATAATTAGTTCTGAAAGCAATTAAATAATTTAAGTTTTCAAATAACAGCCCTTTTATAAATGTCCATTCTAGTGGACGTCAGGACTATCTTCATGGACTTTATGACTCAATATTGTTGCAGGAGACGGAACTGAAGCAGACATTTTCTGTACCAGAAAGTTCAGGAGGATTCAGATTTTGAGCTTTCACACCTGGGATAGAAGAGGGTCAAGAAGAAGGGGGGGAAAGATGCAGGAGGCCCCATGAGCGCACAGATACAGACATAGAGACAGATAGGGACGAGCTGGAAAGATATGGCCCTCTGTGGGCCAAGAGTAGCACATATGTCTTATTGTTGTTTTTATTTGAAGTGGAGCCATGAAAAATGAGAATTGCCTCAGGAATGCAAGCTTTGTTTCTTAGAGCATGGTCAAATGGAGACCACATCCATAAAACTAGTCAAGATGACCCCACAGCCCGTGCCGACTGGGGCCAATGAGGTACTTTCCCAGTACATTGACTACAGGTCTTTGAAGATCTGGAAAGATTCACCAAAAACCAAATCAGTTTTTTATTGACCAAATAAACAGCAATGTTCAGATCAATTACTTATTTATGTTTTAAATAAAGGTGAATGTATTATTGTATTAATATCACTCTATAACCATAATACGTTACATAGTCCATCTGTTAATTTTGGCTGTCTTTTCAAACTAATATGGTCCCGACGTCCTCTACAGTGGACATACTGTAACATTTTAAAATAAAATAAAATAAAAAAAGTCTAAATTGCAAGATGTTTTTTTAACCCTAAATAGGTAGGAAATCACAAAAAAAAGGAAATTGGAAGACACTTTTTTTCCTCGGGAGGCTTGACTCAAAAACATGTACCGTAACAAACACAGAAAAATACTTCATATGTGGCTCCTACAATATGCTACATAATAGATTGTGATAAAAACAAAAACAAGTAAATAAAAGAGCACAGGAGGGGATAATTGAATTAAATCTGTAAACACAGAGTGTCTGGACATTACCTCTATGTGAATGGCTTTTCATCTTATATACAGAATTTTGCACACACTAAACAAACTTATTTAGACAATACAAAGTCCTTTATGAAGGTAACTCGTCGTGAATGCTGTTAGTGCCTGAACCACTCTGCGGTGATTTCTTCACTGAATTGGATCAGCTCCGGTAGTGTTGGATTGGCTCTCCAGTAGAAAAAAAGCTCTCTGTTTATTGAATATAGACACTCTTCTCAGTGAAATATAGTAACAGAAATAGAATGTGTCAAGGAGCCAAGTTTGAAAAGCTGTCAGCTGCGACTGCTTTGGTTGAAATATTAACTCATCAAAAAAAGGTATTCTTCCATTCGAACGCAGCACAGATTTCCACCCACAGAAAATCTGAGCAGAAATAGAGATGCTCTAGACTTCTGCCATGGATCTTTTCTGACGACAAGAGCTCTGCATACGAGTGGTATGTGCAAACGTATATTTGCTGCGAGATAGCGACATTTTGATTAATAGAGTCCCTCTTCAGTGAATGTGATAGTCAATACACCCGGCATTACTTCAAGGTCTGTGAGGAAACCAATACTTATTCACTGTTAGTTAAAATGTCAATGTGATCAGTGCTTTACATCGCTCAAATACTTGCACACAAATGCACAAAGCAGCTGTGGAAATACGGGCGTTAATGTGCAGAGGTGCATTGTGTTGATTCCGAATCCATCTATTTTCCACAGATCCCCCAAAGAAGCGGGTGGACTCTCCCATGTTGAACCGTCATGGCAAGCGGAGACCAGAGAGGAAGTCCATGGAGGTCCTCAGTGTCACCGACGGGGGCTCGCCTGTACCGGCAAGGAGGGCCATCGACATGACACAGCACGGACAGAGGTACGCCTGGAGGTGAAGTGAAAAACCAGAAAAATCTATACAATTTGAAAATGGACTAATGGAAATAGATGTGTGTGTGTGTGTGTGTGTGTGTGTGTGTGTGTGTGTGTGTGTGTGTGTGTGTGTGTGTGGCCTAGCATTACTATACTTGTGGGGACCTAAATCTGTTTACACAGTCACGTGTGGGGACTCGCCTCCCTTATGGGGACAAATTGGAGGTCCCCATGAGGGGAATCATTAATTTTAGGGTGAAGAGTTGGTTAGGTTTAGAGTTAGGTTAAGGGTTAGGGTTAGGCATGTGTTGGTTATGGTTAAGGTTAGGATAAGTCTCCAGGAAATGCATGTAAGTCAATGTAATGTCCCCTGAAGTGATGTATACATGGTGTGTGTGTGTGTGTTCGTGCAGCCTAGTGGTGTTTTAGCAGGTCTGACAGAGGGTCTGTCTCTGGTGGGTTATATCTTTGTGGATAAACAGAGACTGACACTCTGCTCGCTTTTTCTCCTGTCCCTCTGTAGTAAATCAGTGTACAGTAAAAGCTTGGAAATTCGTGATGGCGGTACAAAATGCAGCAATGACGAAAGGTATTCACTTGCTCCTCACACATTACCTCCTCTTGCTCTGTGTTTAGACCCATTATTCAAAGAAAAGCTCCATAGCTGAAGAAAGATGCAGTGGTGTTTTCTGTTGAAAGGATGCTTTGTTTTTAATGGTGATGATATTTGTGGCTGCTTATGTTTATTAAAAGCTATAATTCTTCTGAAAAAAGGAAGAAGCTGGGGCTAACTGTTTGGGCATGGCAGTTCCTAAACTCTTTTAATAACTTAATTTGCAAATTTGCAATTCAGATCCTTAAAATATACATCCCCCGTTCTCCGATGTGAGCTCAGTTCTATCTTCTTCTTATAATCTGAATGCATTGATAATCAGTTCTCTCAAACTGTGTCCCACTTTCTCCAGATGCAGAACGTTTTTCCATTTCTCTATTTTAGAAATGTTCACATCCAGCCACACCCCCACGAGGCACAGCGTACTGATTCAAAATCTATCTCCCATCTTATTTCAACAAGCAATATATCATCACACGACACATTTCTGCTCAGAGGCAGTGACATTTGTGACAGCGGGGAAGATTGAATCTGAGGGGGTGATAACTTCATCTGCCTAATGATACGCAGATTGGCAGAGCGCTGGGAAAGATTCCAGAGGTATGGGTCATAAATGCAGAGGCAGCGACTGCATACATAAAATAGATTAAAAAATATATAATTATTAATTGGAATGTTCAACCAAATGTCATATCTATTCATTATTCCTCTCCATAGTGCTTTGCCAATGACAACATTTCCTTGCCTCACTTCGCTGGGGAAGCCACTTCAGAAGTTTTAAATCCACTTCAAGAGCTCCCACCTCCAAACACTTCTCTTTAATTATTTCTGTCCTCTGGTGCCTCTGAATTTCACTTTAACATTCATCTTCTCGTGTTTCATTGCCTCCACTCCGCTCCCGCATCCCTTCAGGCCATCCAAGTCTTATATGTCCTGTCCTTTATATAAAGGTTGCATTAGTTTAAAAGTTACTTTCTTCCGCCCTTCGCTCTGACCCATCTGTTTTAGTCAAGCCTAGAGTCTCCTCTGTTTGTATGGAATTGCTATGCTAATGCAGAAAGTTCTTCTATGCCTGGCTTCCTATCACCTGTGGTAGGTTGGGGGGGGGGGGTCCTATATCACAGCCCATCCGCCTCCAAATCAAATCTTACTCGCTGTACATCTGCAATTCATGGCTCTCCAGCTGATCAGTGGGGGAAAGAATGTTGGTAACAAATTCTCCGTGTAACTTTTCTGCCTTTTATCGTGTCTCTGTGTGCACTTTATTTTTTTGATCATGCTGGTGTGTTTGTGTTTATATGCGGTGGCGTTGTGGATACACAGAATAACGTCCAAAGATTTGACTGACTTTCTCTGAACCTAACCTTATCTTTCCCCGACAGCAAACTTTTGTCGACAGCACAGAAGACTCGTAGAACTTCAGATCAGAGGGTGTCAGTGGGAGGACTAACTTTGAAACATGTGTTTTGACAGGATACATAACATAAATGATGGAAGAGAGGGGAGACGTTTTTATCTAAAATAACACCATGAAAATGCCTGAACCTCAATCCCTCTCACATATCTCATGTAGGCAGCAAGAATGCGATCAAATGCCCAGCCTGCATTTTCATACATGCTGATTGATGATCCGACTGCTCCTGTGAAGTATAATTGAATAGATTTGGGATAAATGCTGCACTAGCCACATTGCACAGAAACATGCCCAGAGACATTCTTACGTCTTCATTCTTCATACACCCAAAAGTATCTTAAAAAAGACATTTAAAGCCTAAACTCAAAGCACCAGATATCCCACTGATTTCATTTTAAATCTTAACAACATGCCAGGAGAAATGAAGGGAGGTTAATGATATGTAAATGAAATATGGAAAAGTGCTGCAGTGTGAAGAACAGAATATCAATTGATTTTATTTTTTTCCTTTACTGCTCTAGTTACTTCATGCAGTTTGAGTGTGTTGGCTTACTCCGAGCAGTCTTAATAAGTCTCATGCTAATTATTGACTCCAATTTATTTAAGAGGCTCAAATGAACACACATAAGGCACCTTTAACTCTGATCTCTACATGGGAAACTGCAGGGGTCGTACTACATTTAGAGATTTGAGGAGCTGTGAATATTAATGCGCCGAGTCCCCAAGGAGTTGTCAAGGCTCGGGAAAAGGAAATGAATTTAAACAGTGTGTTGGTTTGTGTGAATATCTACTAAGTACAGTAGAATAACTCCATTGGCAGGACAAAGTCAATATAGAGGAGGGGGAGAGAGAAAAAGGGGACATTCTCCACAGTGCAGTAGAGTTGTGTTGTGCAGTGTTATTTGTTCTCCGTTTGACTCCTGGCACCATCCATTTCACAATGCTTCTTTTTCATTTCATTTCAGTCCACGCCCTCGTCCCAGAACCTCTTGTCCTTGTTCCTTCCCCCACAGCTCGACATTAGACCCCCACGGGTGCTTTGGATAGGTCTCTGATACAGCCGGTGGCCACACACTGAGAACATGGGAAACATTCCAAAACAGGCTTATGGGAAAGGTTATCTTGGGGAGTAATGGATAAGAGAAAGATGAGAATGAGAAGCCACACACATACACCATTTCACCCAAATTGCAAACAAAAAAATAATTGAATTCAAAACAAAAACCTCTATGAGAGATGAGGGAAATGGAATTGTGTTGGCTGTGCTTACCGGTGATGGCTAAAAAGTCCTTTAATCAAGTACAAGTTGCAATTCAACATTTAAAGGTCACCTATTATGCAAAATCCACTTGTTCATGTCTTGTATACATCAACACGTGTCCCCTCTGTGGAAAGAGACTCTGAACGTTTCAGGAAAAAAGATTCACTCTCTTTTTGTTCTGATCCATTTATATAAAAACCTGTCTGAAAATGAGCTGATCAGATTTTGGCCACTTTGTGATGTCATAACGATTTATTGGCTTGTGTAACCATTAGCCAATAACAACCAAGGTAACACCCCCCCACCTTATCACCTGAATCTCCTCCTAGAGCACCATTGTGTTCTTTGTAACCAAATATCTCTCAGAGGGGCGTGGGGAGGGGCTCCTTGTTTTCATCTAAAGTAACAGACAGAGAATCAGCACTTTTGAAACAGGGCTGAAACAGAGGGGATTATGGGATGCTACAATGATCTGTTTGGTATTTCAAGCCAAACACTTCAGAGACATGTTTTGTATATATCTGAGACCTATAATATATTGATGAAAAACAGCATAATAGGGGACCTTTTAAAGTCGTGCATTTAAATGTTTAATTTTGTATTAGCATCAGATTACACTAACTGCAGCTGTCAAATAAATGTAGTGAAATAAAGGGTTCTGGAGAGCAGTGTTTTGTTAATAAGGGAGATCTGACTCTTTTGAAGCAAGCGCTACAGAAACTCAGAGGGCTTAACTGGCTCCAGCATCTCCTCTCCTGATGATTTAATAACTTCTGCATGATAGATGATGAATGATTCATTAAGTTGTGTACGCTGTTCGCTACAAATACAAACTTGTCAACAATATTTCATCGTCTCTCCGAAGCAAGGGTGAGCTTCTGACAGCCCATTACTGTACAGCACAGCCATCTGTAGCATTAGCTTTATAGACGTGCTGGTCCAACACTAACAGATGCAGAGGGCCTCGAACAATATGCTCATAATGGCCCGAGGATGCTGTGTTTTGGCTTCGTGTTTTAGATGAAGAGCAATTGGCTGTGTGAGGCTCTGTAGTTAACAACTGCAGACATGTCTCAGTGGACCAGAGGACTTACATGTAAATGATAGCAACTGTCTGGTCAGCTGCTCCCTGAAAACAAGAAATCCTAGCCAACGCGGTCTCAACATCGCCTACTCATGAGTAAAAGAGTGTGTGCAGAAATACACTCACAGAAGGGGCAGTGAGAGAGTTACAGAAATAGCTTGAGAGTGGGTGATTCTATAATTTCCTCCCTCTCATTGTAGCTGTTCTCTTCTCTTTTGATTGTGTCTGTTAGGAGGATTCTTGTATTCTCTTCTTGTATCAGTTCTCTCTTTAGACGGTTGTAAATTAAAAGCTCAAGGGAGACGGGTGACTGCACCCAAAGTGTTTCTACAGTACCTTTTAGAAGATTGAAACATATACATCTTAATCTGGGCTTGTTGTTATGACAGCACTGGTATCATTTTTATGGCTGCTAGCTGTAACCGTGTACACAGTTTTGTGTCCATGTATGGATGCCTTTGTGGTCCTGTGGGACTCCTCGGCGTCATAAATGAACATCAGTCTCCATTACTCCATCCCTCCATCCCATCCTTCATTCTTCCCTCTCTAAATCCTCCATCACTCCTAAACTACCTCATCCTCCCCTCATATTTTCCATGAGTTCCTCCACTACAACCGAGCAAGTTGAAAGACACTTGTAGTTGTAGCTCTTTTCAAATAGAGACAAAATATTCTGTAGGCTCGGCCACATGTTTGTGCATCAAATGAGAGAGAGAAAGGAATGAGGGGGGGGGTTGGGGTTTGTTAGATTGAATGACAAAAAGGCACAGTGTTGTGACAGTGAGCAGCTGGTGTTTCCGAGTGTTGACAGGCCCTGTTTTGTGTGTATGTGTGTGTGTGTGTGTGTGTGTGTGTGTGTGTGTGTGTGTGTGTGTGTGTGTGTGTGTGTGTGTGTGTGTGTGTGTGTGTATGTGAGAGCGTACATGTGTGCGCTCTTGATGGAGACAGATTGTCCTGTGATTGTTATTTTCTGAGCAGGGCTTTGCTCGCAGGGGTTATTGACGGCATCTGGGGGGGAAAAGAAAAACATGACAAATGGCACTCAACCAAATGTCCCACTTCATTTCACCCCTCGAGATGTTTTCAACTGATCCATGGCTATAAGGCCTAAAAGTCAACACATGTTGTTTATTAACACACTATAGACAAGGCGGAAAGCTCATTTGAATGCTAATCTGTGGAGCCTATAGCATACTTAACCCAAAGTTTGAGCTTTACTGCTTTGAGACTAATTGCTGCTAACTAATGCTAGTCATGTTATAGTGCTTTTACCCTCTTTGTGTGAATTGGTGTTGTGTTTGGGGCTTGGTAGAATCTACTGCGCTTGCTATGATGGTGACATAGGCTGTGATGCTTTCTAACTGTGTAACCTCCACACTCTCACCCCCCACCTGTGTGTAATTAACCATGTAACAGGTACACATGTGGATCTCACAAATAACCTCCGCCTCTTGTGTGTGTTCTTGCCTGTTTGTGCCCCAGGTCGCGGTCGATCAGTGGAGCCTCCTCCGGCCTCTCCACCAGCCCCCTCAGCAGCCCACGGGTAAGTCATGATCCTCTGTGCACTTTCACACACACATGCAACACACACCTGTGGACCAAGCTACTTCTTCACCCTCGTGGATAACGGCCAACCAACTCCCGCTGATCCCATCTTATTGCTGTTTATGAGGGCGAGAGAAAATAAAGACCGTAACATCACCAATGCCTGACCTTTAACAATGCACCGCAAACTCAGCATGAAAGCAATATCACTTTATCTCTCTGCTCATGCAATATCTTTCTACTGCTCTACTTTATTATGAGTCTGAGATATTGTATGTTTTTCCACACCTATAAAGGAACAGTTCAACCCTTAATAAAAAATATCTTCCCTCTTCCTTGTGGTGCTGTTCATAAATATAGATTGTTTTAGTCTTGAGTGTTGGGTATAGCAGCCATAGAGATGTCTGCCTCTCTAATATATTTCATCTAAATGGCACTCAGTCTAAGGTGCATCAAAAATACATTGGAAAAAATCAACAGGAATAGAAATGGGAACTATTTTGCTTTCTACAATCGCCCACCATATCACCTTCAGAAGGAAGCATGCATCTAACCATGAATAAGAGCTAGTTAGTGTCAAAGCTCATCCACAAGAACAACATTAATGTTTACATATTGCACTCTGAGCATGAGACCTTTATCGAGAAGGCAGACATCTCCAACACTCAACAACTCACACCATGACAGTCTAGATTGAGAAGCTGATGTATGTGTTTCTGATTTTGGAATGCAATGTTTATTATTTTCATCCAAAGTTCAGTTTTGAAGACTTAAGTTCTTCTCATCTGGTGTTTCTTCATACATTACATGAGTCATCACGGTATCTGTATATTTGGATCTCCCTGTTATCTGAAAGTTAAAATATACTGAAACGGAGGATGTGACAGCTCAGCATACTTTCTTCCCCCACCCCAAAGCTTATTTTTTCCATCCTTTCTGCGTATTACCCCTCTCTCTGTTTTCCCTGGCCTGAGCTCTATGGAAATCCAGCTCCTGGAATGCTTCAGAAAATCCCACTTTTCTTGCGCTGAGCTGGGGAGCTTGTGGTAAACTTTTCCAGCTGACTAACCTGAGAAGGCTCAAGCTTAGCCAGGATCCTAAAACGAGCTCCTCGCGCCACACAGGTTCCTTCAGGCTGATCTGAAAGGGAAATTGATTTCTCAGACCTACCCAAAGCCCGGATTGTGCTCTCAGCGAGAACCTCTATGTGGAGTTATTTTCTCACATTTGTGTGTGGAAGAAAGGGAGGCGCAAATAGTTTATCAGGGTACCATTGTGCCTGCAATTCCACCATAACAAATTAAACAGAACAATAAACGTCGAAATATTACAGCAAAAATATCATGATGGTGTTCCTCCTGTTATTGAAACAGTCTAAAGTGTCCTCACAGCTGGTCCCATGTCTCTCACACATCTGTCTGCATGCTTTTCTCTGCCATCAGAGCCCTGTATGTGTTATCAAGTGAAGTCCATCATTTTGTCTTTTGTTTGTTGTTTCTTTAAACTGTGTGCATTGCTTGCTGTTTTCTCACTTGCCACGAGTCACTGAATGGACTAACTGCATGTTTCTTGTCTTTTCTGTCTTCCCCTTTTTTTCTTTTGTTATCAATGCCTTACCTCTCCCGTGTATGCACACATCCCTCCTGCCTCTGCTTTTCTTCTGGATGTGTTGTTGTTTGTTTTGCTACACTCCTCATTCGTGCCTGCGTGTGTCCCTGTGTGTGTTGCTTTGTTTTCTCCTCCTCCTCCACCTGCTCTGGCTCTCGGCTGTGTCGTGCTGCGTGTCTTCACACTGTGTCCTCACACTGTGTCCTCCAACTCCAGCCTGTCAGAAAGTTCTGTGTACCGCCTCAGACCCCAGACATTTTGCAGTCCCCTAACTCGAGCCCCTGCCAATCCCCTGAGTCTGCCCCCAATCGTGCAGTCCCCCGTGCCCCCACGCCTAACTCACTAGCGCCAAACAGTGAGCCCCCGCCGGCAGAACTCAACAGGACGCAAACACTCCCCTCCAAGCCTAAAACTGTCCCCAAGCCCCTCCAAGCCACCCGCTCCATCCCGCTCCCCGTACAGTCCACAGAGCCAGCATCTCCAGCCAAATCCAAGCCACCCACTCCCCTCCAGCTTCCATTGCAGCTCCCCTCTGCCTCTGTCCCTCACACCCCTACTACTCCATCCTCCCCGTCCTTCCCCTTTGCCCCCTCCTCCATCTCCAGTACTCCCATCCAAAACAGCCCCCAGGTGAGGCGTTCCCATTTCGCTGCCAGCCCCCAGCTCTCGGTGCCCTTCGTCCCCGCGGTGCAGATGTCCCCCATCCGGTTGCACCACTTCCACCCCGTAGCGCCCGCGTCTTCTTCCTTCACTGACCAGCCCAAATCTATCCCCCTCATACAGGTTACCCCTCATCCCTCCCCTCGAGGTAGCCCCCTCCCCACCCCAAAGGGCACCCCGGTGCACACTCCCAAGGACAGCCCAGCCGGGACCCCCAATCCGACGCCGCCCCCCAGCCCGTCCATCGGAGGCATGCCTTGGAGGACGCGCCTCAACTCCATCAAGAACAGCTTCCTGGGATCGCCACGCTTCCACCGCAGGAAACTACAAGGTACTGATATCCTTTAAGATGTTTAAACCTTAAACACTTATCTTCAAGTTTCAAGGCTTTATTGTCATTAGCACATTAGTTACAGTGTAGATATGGCAATGAAAAACCCAGGTCACAGGCTCCTCCAACTGTGCATACTGTATATAGGACATAGAACAAATAAAACAGATGAAATAGTGCAATAGAATGTTTGGGAGATGTGCAAGTAAATACAAATAAAATAGAAATAGTGCAAGAAGAGTCTATATACAAGTAAATGCAATGACACATTAGATTCTGACTGGTTTTAGACCTGATACCAGACAGCAGCAGACAGAACAGTTTGTGGCTGTGGTCTTTTGTTCCTTGTTCCTATTTAATCCTAAAATCTTCCCGTTCCCACTAATTAAATCTATCTTTTTCTGAGACTTCAACCTTTTCTCACTTTATCTCTGCGTCCACAGTTCCCACACAAGAGGAGATGTCCAGCCTCACACCAGAGTCTTCCCCAGAGTGAGTAGATACTTGTTCATCACTATGCAGAACCTGTCAGCCCCTCACTCATTGGCTCTTGATAGCATGATGTTTTGGAAAGTAATACATCTGTGAAGGTTTGATTTGTGCCTGCTGAGTCCACGGTAATGACCTCAGGTGTGGTCTGGGTTGGAGAAGCAGCACCGTGGCAGGAGGTATTGGGTTGGTTATAGAGAGAGAGGGAGGGGGGTAGCTGTGTGATGTTGCTGAGCTCCCAGGGGCCTGATAACTGAAGGTTGGCCTAGATATGCCTGTTTGGTTCGCTGGCTTGGCCATTTCCACCTGGCTGGGAAGAACATCCTGGCTGTAGGAGTTGGAGTGTTGGCTGTAAAAGACCTTCCTTGGCTAGTTTATGCTTCATCACATTAATACAGTCACACACCCACTGTGTATAAAGTGTTACAAAAAAGCCCTTAATGTTGCTTGTAACATTATGGAATAATTTATATTTCAATAGGGAGTTTCTCTTTGCAATTTACAGTTTTGTAAATCAATCAACCTTTACCAGAAACTCATGGAATGTTAATGTGCACAGAACAGAAGTCCATTTGGCTTATTAGCGGGTGCATATACACCTGGGCTGAGGCCAGTAGTGAATTCATCTACCTCTACCCCTTCTGGACCTGCAGTTCTGTTCACATAGAAGCTCAATTATCCCCCCCCCCCTCTCCCTTACACACAAACATAGACCTACATGCATGTACACACACACAGTTGCGCAGAAGGGGGAAATGTCAGGAAACGTATCTCCCCTGCAGCTTTAGCTCATTTCCCTCAGGGCATCCTCCGTTTGCTCCTCTGCAGTTCCCCAGAGCTGCAGAGGGAGAACTTTTCACCAGCTCTCCATTTTTCAGGAGGATAGGTGGGTGCTGGGTTTTAAAATGGAATTAAAAAGGTTGTAATGAGGACAACCCCTCTCCAACAGGAATATACTAACATTGTGTTCTTGTCTTATGCCCACAGACTTGCCAAAAAATCATGGTTTGGTAACTTCATCAACCTGGAAAAAGAGGAGCAGATCTTCATCGTCATCAGAGACAAGCCTCTCAGCTCCATCAAGGCAGACATCGTTCAAGCCTTTCTCTCGGTACTTGCTTAATTCCTCACATTTCCCCTGCTACCTTTAACCCCGATAAACACTTCACTACCTGTGCTCTGATGTTTCTCTGTAAATCTATATATGCGTATTACCTGTACATCTGCTGTCTGATGCAGGACGTTGCCTTTTCCAACAGCAGCTGTGATTGGCTATGCTACGAGGCTGGCTCTCTCTTTGTTTGCTAACATGCTTCTGATTCATGTTGCAATTCAGTAAACGGCTAGTGTTCAGTGCTTCTATTTTCTCTCTGACTGAAGACTCACTTTAGGTCAATAGAAAATCAACAGAGAGCATTGATCATTAGCATATAGATGCTTTGCCCTTGATACTGTGTATTGAGCATGTGTGTGTATATTTAGATGTGTACTGCGAGAAATGGAGTAGATTGTATCTGTGTATGCGTGATGGGTTTATAATGTGGATGTACAAATACATGCAGGAATATAGACAACATCAGGATTTTTCCGCCAGCGCCGCAGAATCTTTATCAACAAAAGCTTGGCAGTGGTAGTTGATATTCAGCGTGCATAATTGAACAAAAAACGATCCTCACCCCAGTTAAATTTAACAAAGTAAACCCAAACTATGCCAGTGCAGGTCAATGTCAAATGTGTTTCCCCTTCCCTGGAGCTATTTCCCTCTGGGTTGTGCTAGCTGGTGTTACAGACAGGAGATTGGCACCTGAATCAGTGGAATTATACCTCTCAGCACACTCACATTAATGGAATGTCAAACCCTCTCCAGCACTATGGTGAAATGTGACTATTTCCGAGCTCACCTGTTCATTGGGCATACAAATTCATTTTAGGAGGAAGAGTGCAGAGTTGTTGGATGACTCAAGATTACATTAGCTTAAGTCTCCCTGGCATGCATGCTCTCCCCGAGGCATTCATCTCTGCAGAGTATGTGGAGGGTATTTTAATGAGGGTTTACTCACCTTGTCACTTACATGTGGTAAAAACTATGACCATAATGCTCCTTGTTAATAATCCTATTATTTGCTGTTTTTCTTATTCTTATCTCTGCCTATTTGTCCACTTCTCCCAGATCCCCAGCCTCAGCCACAGCGTCATCTCTCAGACAAGTTTCCGGGCAGAGTACAAGTCCACAGCCGGCCCTACAGTCTTCCAGAAGCCAGTCAAATTCCAGGTGGATATCACCTACACGGAGAGCACAGCTGCCACTAAGGAGAACGGCATTTACTCTGTCACCTTCACCCTGCTCTCAGGTCAGAACACCGCCAGCACGACCCTCATTTTCTACACCCACTTAGCCTGCATGCATTCAGTCAAATCAGGTCACGAATCAAATGCTAAAGGCGTACTTTACTTTTATAAGTTGAACTCCTTTTCCCTCAGAATGAGATATTAACAGTATCTTCTGTATAAATACAAAAGAGAAAAAGGGGTTCAAGGCACTCTGCTTTGTTTTTATACTTCAGTAAAACATTTGGCTTAAATGTAGGGGATAATCAGAATTCCTTTATTTGTCCCAGAGCGGGGACATGTACAGTGTTACAGCAATAGTGATATAGCAGATAAAAGGCAAGCAATAATAAAGTAGCTAACATGTTAATTTTAGAGTAAAAGCACACATTGGTAATACAAAATAAAGACAAATAAGTACTCATAAAGAATTAGTAGCAGCATTTAAATAGCTAAGTAAAATAGGTTTAAGATATTATAAAGATGATGTTTTGCACGTACAAATGATCATGGTTATTGCACAGTAGAATTGACAAAAAAAGGGTATACATTGCATGTTACAGGTGTATTGATCTCAACAGTCTGTATTGATTGGATTCCTTCTAATGTGGGCAGTCCATACAGAATGTGTCCAGTTCAAACCCTGTCAGTAGTTCACAGAGTTACATCAAGTATTATATAAGTCTTCCATCTTCTCACATTCACAGAGGTCTGGGGAAATTCAAGCTCACACTTCACTTTTGAGAAGTGCCGAAAAGCTTCCCTCCCTTGCATGTTGAGTGGGGTGCCGTCACACTTGAACCAAATAAAAATAAATCTATATCTATCCAGCCAACAAATACCTCAAGTGCCGCTTCCATGTGTGTTCAAACTCTCTGCCAAATAGAATAGCTGCCTAAGGATTTTCAAAGTTCTCGCAATCCTGAATGCTTGATAAGATTTTCCCTCCAAAAACCTCCCTGAGCGTAACGAGATGAGGTCTGGCTATGCAAGATTACATACTAGGCAATCATGCATGCATGCTTAGTGTTGCAGAAACACACGCATTCTCTCAGCTCTTTTCTCTCTGTCTCACACACATATACACCCCCACACACCCAAAAAGGGGGCACATTTCAGATAAATTGGGTGTAATAGTGGCACTTTGGAGCCTGCTGTTCTTCCATGTCACTGAATGTACACAACAGGAAGAGAGCACGTGCTTACACTAGCACTCCTCTCTGGCCTCCATCTATCATCTCAGGCTTTTTTTCTCCAGCTCATTTTTCACACCATGTACACTCTTACTTACTCCCCTTTTAATTAATCCATCTACATGCTCTTCTGTCTTCCTACAGACTGCTACCTTTGCAATAAATATCTGCTGTTCTGTGCCTCTGTTTAGGTCCCAGCCGGCGCTTTAAGCGAGTAGTGGAGACGATTCAGAGCCAGTTGTTAAGCACGCATGACCAGCCAGGGGTCCAACAGCTGTCTGGTGAGTAGGAACTTCTCTTTTCAAAAGAAACAATATTATCCAAAGCCTCTCCACCCTCACTCCCACCGCCTCATCCGCCCATCCCACACCGAGATGAACCACTCTCACCGCTGAAGCTAAATCCTGCCCTCCGCTTCCCCTGTGCTTGAAATTCACTCCGAGCCACACTCCGCTACTCGAAAAAACAGCTTATTTTTTTGCATGCCCGCGCCTCACCGCCATGAAAGGGTGGGAGCTGCTCTCAGGCTGCGGGTCAAGCTTTGTCTCGTTGCCCTGGCAGGGAAGATTAGAGTAGAAGGTAGGGGAAGATGATTTGCATTCTGTTACTCCTACTTCCAAGACTGATCGTCGGAGCTTGTCACCATGGCAACACCACTGCACCTCAACGCACTCCCCACAATGCACTGCACCGCACAGTGACACCACACCTGACAAGCTCCCTGCTCCCTCATTCTCTGGATGCCTGTACAATAGGACCCCATCACCCCTGTTTGATCCCTCCACCACCAGCCTCTTTTGGACCTTTCAAAAGGCCCCGAGCACATAAAGAAACCCTCTGAAGGCCAACCTCCAGACGCTCACCTGTGAACTTGGTGACATTATAAAGCCTCCTCTCTTTCTTCTAGCCTTAGGGTTGGTGCTGAGGCCGTGGACATGTATAAGTGTCTTATTTTAGTGCGGTAGCTTCTTATTTGCTGGTCTGGATGACAGAAAGACAAAGAAAAGAGAAATATAGATCCTATTCCTCCCCATCTGCTCTTGTCCTTCCTTGTGAATCACTGCTTGGTTTTTGTCTCGCCATCATCTTGACAACGGCTCCACCTGTTGGTAACCTAGGGAAATACCATCAGTCTGTTTTTATGCTGCCTGTGAACCATTTTCTCTGCGTCTGAATGTTTGTGTCTTTATCCTTTGAAACACATCTCTAGTTCCATGTCCCATATTTTTTACAGCTTAATATTATATTTGGTTAAACCTGACGAGAAGTAACAAGTGCGAGCTGCATATTTTCCCAGTGGCTGTTCTGCAATATTTCTCTCACTGGCACTCAGAAATGAACAGCAGCCGTCCCACCTGTTGTGATATTTAACAGTCTGCTATCATCGCTGTGCCTCAGTTGGTTTATCTTTTATTTCGGATCTTATGTATTATAGAGCTAATTAACCCACAGAGGTGTGGGAAGGGTAGATTTAGAGTAAATTACATCAGATTAGGTTTAAACGACTGCTGTGGATCGTTTTAGCAGCAGAGGGGTATTATGTATTATAATGATACTCATTTATCAATAGAGGATATCATGGTTATTACAAAAACACATACATAATAAAGTATTGTATTATGTTCCTGCTGTCAGAGCTGAGTTAAGTACCATCAGAGTATCTCACTCTGTAATAAGCATCTTAAATGTGTGCTTAGCAGTAATTGAAAGCTTTGTTAAACTCACTGTTTCCTCTACTTCTCTTTCCTTTGACCTCCTAACACATGTTGGTGCTACCTGACGACTGGACCTTTGAGAAAAACCCACTGGCTGTAATTAAGAATAGAAATAGCTTTGCATACCAATGTGTGTCAAACAAAGGGCTTCATCAAGTCTCGGTCATTATGTCCCTTTATCACCATTAACAGAAGAATACCTGGGAGCCAAGCTTAGGAAGACAATGGGAGGGGCGGAACAATGAAAGGTGTGTGGGAAAACGCAGGGAGCATATTAAAGGGGTACAGAGGAGAACCATTCATAAAGTGCACCATAGAAACGTCATAGTAAAGGCCATAGAAAGTTGTGGCATAGTGTGCCTTAGTATAATATCACACAACATTCATAACAACTTCATGAAAAATTATTATTGCAATATGTCTTTGAAAACTCAAATCAGAGTGTAGTAATATATATTGTATATATATTATAAATGTTTAATATAATAATATCATATAATAATAGAACAATCTTATACACATCATATGGCTTACAATTGTAATAAAGTCATAGAATAGAAAAAAAGTTGTAAAACAAACAGAAACAAATATAATGGTACGATGAAAAAGTCATAGTATGCACAAAAAACCTAAAGTGTCTTATTAAAGTTTTCTATAAAAAAGAATCATAAAGGAATTATAATTCAAAATGACATTATAATATTGAATACAAAAGTTACAATATAGTATGTTCTCTATCATTAAAAAGTGATATTAATAAAAAACGTAATCCCTGAAAAAGTTAAAAAAGATGTCATAGTTTAATATGTCGTAAAATAAATGAGTTGTACAGTTTGCCTTACTTTTCAAATGTCTTACATAAAATAAAGATGAGATAAAGGTCCTATTGAAAAAGACCTGCTATAGTGTCTGAGCATAGAATGCCATACAAATGTGTCATAAGTGTTATTATAATATTTAATTAAAAACAATCTGAATAAAGGAGGATACGGTCTGGGTTGTAACAAGCACCCTACAACGAGTTTATTAAGATTCATACAATTCCATTTTTGAAAATGTGCAGATTTGGGTGGAGTGAGGTGACTAAGTGTGGAAATTCTTCACATGAGAAAGGAAGAGGGAATGTTAGGGACATGTTTTCCAGCAGGGAAGGGTTAGACTCTGGAACATTCACAATTCCACACAAAAACACGCACAAAGACAAACACACTTATTCACTTATTGGTGATCAGATGAAGTTTGCCTAATGTCCTACCACTACTGCAGGTATCCACACACTGGCAATATGCAAGAGTCAGCAAGAGAAATTCCACTGTCTAACAGTTACAGTTTATGTAGTCCTGGTTCACAGACACTCTCCAGTCCAGTGTGTGTGTGTATGTGTGTGTTTTTCGTCCGTGTGGCACCCCCGCTTCTTTTTCCTGATGCTGCCACTGTTCATTTGTCGGCCCGCAGGACTCTTTTGTGCAAATGGATCTACTGCCAACTATTCAGAAACAGTTCTGTTTGTGGCTGATAGTTCCCAGTTGTGCTGTGTATGCACCATTAGCAAAAAGAACATTGAGTTTTTATTTGCCCCATTTCTCATTTGTGGTGTCCTCACTACTCTACCTACCTGCAGTGGGACCATTAAGGCCCTGTGGAATGAGGGAGTGTGTTTAACTTAAGATCATTTGCATACAAGTTGTCGGACGTACACACACACACACACACACACACACACACACACACACACACAACACACACACACACACACACACACACACACACACACACACACACACACACACACACACACACGTACACACAACACACACACACACACAGGGACTCAGACTGTGTGTCAAAGATATTAGCATGTATTATTTAGCATAACTACAACCCATTTTTCCAGCACAAAGTACCAAGTTAGGAATATTTATGACTTAAATACAATTCATCATCATTTTATTTTGGCGTCTGCAAAACGGCAAACAATCGGCTTTATGAAAAGGAGATTAGACGCTGATGATTTTAATATCCCTCAAGGAAAACGTTGTCTTGAAGCTTTCTCATTGTCCTCCTCCCATCATATGCCGGCTTCTGGCTGACCAGACAGATGACACACCACGCTTTCTGCATCCCATAGTTCAAAGCAGCTTGTTATTATCTACCAGTCTACAGAACGCCTATATCGATTATTTGTTTGAACTTATAGCCTTAGACTGAATGTCTCCCTGTGTTTTCACTCGTTGTGCTGTTACATACGCATGGTTTTGCTCCTTGCTGTCTGTCAGTCCTCGCCTCTGCTTGTCTCTACGTCTCTGTCCTGTGAACCCCATTGTTCATTGGTGTGTTTGTTCTCTCTCTTCTCCCCCTTTTTTGTCCTCTTTTTTGTCCCCCCCCCCATTTGTGTACCTAGGCAGCCCCTTGAGTAACTTCTTTGACGTAATAAACCAACTTTTTTCAGACGAGAAGAACGGACAGGTGCCCTACCCTTCTGGCACGCCCACCAAGCACTGTCCCTCGCCCATGCACGTCCGGAGGCACGAGCCAGAAAGTAATGACACCAAAAGCCCCTCCGCGGGCCGAGACAGGGCCAAGTTGTCCGTGGCAACTGTGGGGTCACAGGAGGAGTCTTAGACCGAGCCTGTGCTAAGACCCCCTCCTCCGAAAATCTGTACATAGCTAGATGTACATAATCATATATGTTTTTGTATAAAATGACTTTATATAGATAGAAATATATGAAGAGAAATATTTTACGAACTGCACCTACATAACACACACACTTCTCATCACCCCTCAGCGTGCACCATCATCATCCACCCCCCCCAGCCATCTTATCTCTTGTTTTTTGCTGCTAACCTGTGTGATGACCCTGACTTGTTTCTGATACCAGGAATTATCCAGAAAACCTATTAAGCCCCTCCTCCGTCTCCCTGTTCCGTTTGAGCCTCACCTCTGCCAACCTCCACCCCCCCTCCCCCCCCAGAGCATGCCAAGAGAGAGAGACAGACAATTGTTGACGGAGGACTGCTTTTAGAGGTGCGCTGCAAAAAAGATGGGGGGGTGGTTACCATGGAAACATACCCTTCATCATGCAGACTTCTACCTTCATCTCCTCTCTGCGCCCCTTCTCCACCTTTGGCAGCCATCAGTAGATGTAGAGGAAAAATAGTGTTCCCCCATTTTAGGAACACACAAACACATACACACATGTGCACAACTAATCCACGCTAATCCACATGAAAGAGTAACGCACCCCCCCCCCCCGCAACGACCGGACCCCCCTTTCCACTCAAGGAGCATTCATCGTTGGAATGACACTACTCACACACATGAACATGCATACATGCACAGGTCCAGTATGCACAGACTCAAACTCTGGGATGTTACTAACACGAACAAAAAGAAGACTGATTCAGAGGAGGAGAGAAGGGGGAGGAGTTTTGTGGAACTCCCAAACAAGCCGACGCGGATGCTTGCTGGATTGTATTTGTTTGCTTTTTAATGTACTTTCTTTGTGAAGAACTGGGTTTAAACTGACTTTATTAGACTTAGTAACATTGCTGCAAATGGACTGGAATTGTGATTTCAGAGAGGAGTTGGGTGTGAGAAGAAATGGGAAGAGGGGGAGATATGATAGTATAGGGTAGGGGGGAGGGACGCGGGTGGGTATTTGGGTATTTAAAATGAATGATCTATTCTGTTGTACAGACTGATATCATTTCTTATGTATACAAAATGAAATGTCTAGTTGTGACACTATGTTTAGATACCATAGGGTCAGGTTGGTAAACCTGCCCCTGCCACTTAATGTTCTTTTAAATTCTTCTGTGTATTTATGTTACATGATCATTTATGTCTTTGTTTGATTGACCTAATAATGATCCAAACATTCCTGTTTGTGTTGTCTGCAACACTCTGTCTTTGGTTTTCCATCCATACCTCTCTCTCAGTCTCACTTACCAGCAGTAGGAGTAGAGGAACAAAAAAAAAATGATGACGTGATAAATGCAATTGTGGATATTTTTTGTATTTCTGTCCTTATTTATTCATGTTTGTTCATCTCACTGTTTGATTTCCTAATTTATTATAACTTGGCTATTTATATGAACAAAGCTGTTAGGTCAGTTGAATGTTATTTATTACCCTCTTGTGTGTTCGTAAATGGGGCAACATTTGAAGAAAAAAATGAACTATTTTTCTTTGTTTTGGTCATTATGTGAACATCTAAAAGACACAAATTCTCTTTTCCCTGACCTCTCCGTAGAGGGAAAGAGAACTTGTGGGAACTCTTGAAAAAAATGATTTACCAGTAATTTATGAATGTAGACTTAGCCTCTTTTTGGAGAGGGAATATGCTCTTCTATTGATATTTGTCAGTTTCATATTATTGTGCGTGTAGGCCAGGCCTGAGGAGAAGGGCGCCACAGATCTACTTCTTCTCTCTGTAAATATACAGACGAACCGTGGGGGTTGATTGTCTTCTCAACCGTGCTGGGGATTCCTGCTCTATGCTTTAGCTTGTATTGCTGTGTGCATGTCAAACATGAGCTTTTCTTTGCATGGCTTTAGTGTTCATGTTCCATGCCAAACTCTCTCCTTCTCTCAGCCTTCATTGATTCTCTCGCCACAAAACTACCTTTTTAAATCCCCCCCCTGTCCCTTACTTTTCACCCTTTTTGATTGTTTGGCCTTCTTTCTTTATTGTTTTAATTCTTCCCTGGCTCCCACTAATCTATCCCTTCCTCCTCCTCCAATCTTGTGCACAAAGTATTTGAGCGATGCTTCCTTGACTCTGTACCTCTGGCTGAAGGCTCGGAGGTCTGCTCTCTCTGTACCTGTTAGCAGCAGAGGCGCAGTGAGGGGATGTCAGTACACAAACACAAAGCAATACCCTATCGTTCACCCTCCTTTCTGTTTTCTACAATGGGAAGCTAGCAGCACCAAGGACATCTGATGATTCTGAGGCCCAGAGCGGGCTTTGGACAGAGCAGGAACAAAACTGACTGTAATCCCCATATAAAATAACTGTGAGCATCTTCAGTGCTAAAACAAATAAACTCATTAAGTTATGGTGTGTTTGTTTTCCTTTGTTCGTGCCTGTTAATGTATGCTCAGTGTTTATGCCTAGTGTTTTTCTCAAACAACTGAAACTATGCCAATCTTAAAATTAATTTAAAATATGCATTTTGAATCCCTGTAAAATGTTTTTTTTACTTTACCTTACCAGTGTTTTCTGTAAGAATGTATTTTACTTTATTTTCTGTAGCACTTGTAATGACTTTCATGTTTTAGATGTGTTCAAGTATCAGATCCTGGATTTTAAGTAAGTTACACAAATCCACACAAACCTACAAAGCTTGTTTACTCGGTTTATTACAATACTCAGCATTCAAACATATGTTTTGTATTCCAAATCCCACGATGGACTCTGCTGCTGTACCTGTATAGAAGCATTAAACCTCAGCTTGCATAAGCTTCATTTACTGTTAAGAGTGTACCTGGAAAAACAGTTACACAAAAACCTTTTTTGTATCAATAATATTAATAATTTGCTTGGATTAAAAAACAAAATAAAAAGGGAACACCCCGTTAAATACTCTCACATCTTTTTGTTCTCCTTAAATACAAAATGTCCATCCCACTCTTCAGTAAGTGTTTTGATTCTCCGGCAATACTTTTTAAAAATAAAAAACATAGTTACATAAAAAGTACATTTGTTAATCCAAAGTACACATCAATACCAGAGGAACTGAGTCTACCTCTGTCCGCCCACTCTGCATTATTAGTTTGAACGGGATAAAGCCAAAAGTCCAGCATGGCTGCCTCCCATGATTCAATCTATTGTCACTTTCCAGCTTCAGTCAGAACCAGGAGGGAAACGTGATCCCAATCCTCCAGGGCAACTCTATTTTTGCCAGTTTTGTCCAGTAGAGGGCAGCAGTGTTTTATTATTCAGAGTTCCCACTTGTTGCATCCATCTGTTGCTTCTCCATTGAAGCTTCCCGAGCCTTGGAGAAAAAGCATCACATTGTCCAATTTTCTTCTTCATTAATGCTGTACTCTGCAAAAAATGTCAAGATGGAGTGCTTGGTACAAAATGTGAAAATGCTAAACTGTCCATAGAGATCTGTATCCCAAAGTCAAAGCACTGTGGAACCAGCTTGTTATTAGTGATAGGAACAGGCGTTACTAAAATCTGTAATAAACTATTTAGTCTGTCTTCAGAGCTGATCCTGTATCACTGATGAAATGAAACCTCCGCTTCGAACGCCACATTCTTATTTCTTCAGACTCGGGAGGTGACGCAGAGAGAGCGTAGTCGTTGGGCCAGGGTCGCCTCCAGCTCCTCCAGAGGCGACTCTCCCCGGCTGTGAGCCAGCGTGGAGATGGAGTTGTTCCCCTGTCGGGCCGAGGGGGGTCCCAGCAGCAGGGTCCTGAAGCCCTCTCTCTCCAGTAGAGCAGGCATCTGCTGCAAGAAGTAACCTTCACAGAATGAGCTCAGCTCCACTGAACCATGGGCCTGGGGAAGAGAAAGGGATGTTTTATCTCATTAGAAAGTGTCACATCGAGGACATCTATCATGTAAGTGTGCAGTCATGTGTATTATCCAGTTGATGTGTGAATGGTTTTAAGAAGAAAGGCTTGTATTCATGCAAGATCTTTCTTCATTTTAACATGTTTCTCTCGCTCTAAAGCTTGCTATTGTCACAGCTACAGAACAATATGATCCAGGCTTCTGTGTGCGTGTGTGTGTTACCTTGGCTGTCCTGTAGATGCTGACTGCATTATCCAGCGTGCAGAGCCGAGAGCACAGGAGTTCACAGTGTCTTTGAAGCACGCGCAGCTGGAACAGACTAGCAGCTGACAACAACTGCAGGAGGAATCACAAGCCAATGTGTTATCCTCCATTCAGTAACACAGATTTCGAACGTTTGGATACAACATTGAAGGACACTTCTGTTACATTGAGCTATGAGTAATTTGCTGACTAGCTTTTTTGTAGATACATAGAGAAACATTAACACTGAATGATAAGTCTCCAGTATAGCAAAATCAACTTGAAGTAGTATGATTTTCAATCGGTGGCTGCATTTTACTGCTTTCACTTTGACCGTCAGTCGACAATTTTGCTGTGCATGCAGGCAGCTTCACGATACAATCTAACATAAAAGTATTTAATTAAATACATTTGATTTTAAATGTAATACTTATAAACTAGTATACTGTTTTACACAACTACCCAGATGGATGAGTTTGAGTGATTCTCACCTCCAGCAAGTCAGGCACATTAGTTCTTAGCGACTCTGTTCCTCCACAGTACAGGTATGACATCATCATCTGTGGAGTGGTCAAAGGTCAGTACTGTAGTTTAACATATTGTATGCAGACTGCAGTACATCTGTCTCCAGTTGATTCAATCCCTCTTGAAACATTGCATCAAACGATAAAGCAAAGTATTTGAAGCAAAGAATAGATGTGTTACCTGGAAGATTCTGTACTTGATGTCACTGATCTCAATCGCCTTGTTGCCGCTTCCTTCTGCTCCGGAGCAGGCCAGCAGAGACTTGAATCTAAAGTCAAACAAATGCATTTGTCAAACGATTCAGAATGATGATTCTAATGAGCATTGGGGATTGTCCCACTCTTGACCTAACAATCAACATCGGCACCTCAGTTGTTTCCCCGACTCAGACTGCAAGGAATCTGGGTGTGACCCTAGATAACAACCTGTCCTTCACTGCAAACATCGCTGCTACAACCCGTTGCTGCAGATACACGTTTTACAACATCAGGAAGATACGTCCCCAGCTGACCCAGAGAGCGACGCAGGTTCTGGTCCAGGCTCTCGTCATCTCACGCCTAGACTACTGCAACTCCCTCCTGGCTGGTCTACCTGCATGTGCCATCCGACCTCTGCAGCTCATCCAGAATGCAGCGGCTCGTCTGGTCTTCAACCTTCCTAAATTCTCCCACACCACGCCGCTCCTCCGCTCCCTTCACTGGCTTCCGGTAACTGCTAGAATCCACTTCAAGACACTGGTACTTGCGTACCATGCTGCGAATGGATCTGGCCCTTCCTACATCCAGGACATGGTTAAACTGTACACCCCAGCGCGTGCACTACGCTCTGCATCAGCCAAACGACTCGTTGCGCCCTCGCTGCGAGGGGGACCCAAGTTCCCAACGGCGAAAACACGTGGGTTTGCTATCCTGGCTCCAAGATGGTGGAATGAGCTCCCCATTGACATCAGGACGGCAGATAGCTTGCACATCTTCCGGCGCAAACTGAAAACTCATCTCTTTCGACTCCACTTCAAGCGATAGAACTATTAACGAAGCACTTATATACTAATAAAGGACTGGCTTATCTAAAGCCAGTTGAGTAGCACTTGAAATGTTTTTGCTCTATGAAACCTGATGTACTTATATGATTCTGTTTTCTTCAAGTTGTATTTTGTTGGACGAACGCACTTATTGTAAGTCGCTTTGGATAAAAGCGTCAGCTAAATGTAATGTAATGTAATGTATCCAGTTTGAATGGCTGTGCACTCACCTGTCTGAAGCTGTGATCAGCAGGACTTTGTGTGCGTAGAACGGTTTCCCTTCCACCACAAACGTCACATCTGACATCTCCTGGTTATTCAGGAAGTGAGGGTCTGTAAGAAAACACAACTTCTTACAACTACATTCACAGGACAGCTTTTAAGGGATTCTGAATATTTTGATAACCGATTCATTCTTTAATGTTATTTTAAAGCAAAATTGTTGTGGTTGGGAATTTGTTCGCTATTTTTGCGATATTTAAAAAAACATCCAAATAGATTCAAAGGCTTTAATGTCATATGCACAGTAGCTACAGGGTAGAAATGGAAATTAAAATCTTAAGTCCCGAGCTCCTCCAACAATGCAACATAGTTATAAAGGACATAAAACTCATTAATAATTGGTAGGTTAGTAAATAAGGGAAAATGAAGCTGTTATTGGTGTTCCTATACAAAAATAAACCATAAATCCTTACCCAACTGTGCAGAAAGAGTTGCCTTCATCCCAGGGATGGCTGGAAGGGGGGCGGGGCCAAAGCAGTGACTAAAAATAGTCCCCAACTGCTGTATGATGGCATCATTCTGGAGTAAAAGGGAAACAACAGGGAGGAGGGCGTTATATCTCACATATAAACTAGTATCCAGCACATAACAAAAGAAGGAAAACTAGCAGACAGTAAGGTTTGATGATACCTTGGTGGTGCGTAAGATATGGAACATCAGGGGCAGGCCGAGGGTGACTAGCTCTGTGCAGTAGTCCTCTTCTCTGATGGTGGTGAACTCTCTGAGGAGGGACAGGGTGACCCCCGCCCTGGACTGCTGCGTGGCACAGCGCAGAGACTCCAGCCACACGTGCAGCTTCCATGGTACACCTGGGTAAAAAGAAGGTTTTAGATTCAGGGTAAGCCTCAATTAAAATCCTAAGCAAGTCTTCTTTCTGAGAAGTGATAGTTACCCATAGCTCGTAGCTCCATGGTGACGTCCAGGTAGCCGTGCTCCGCGCTGTAGTAGCTGGCCTCCTGCAGAGCCTTCATCCTGGCCTTGCAGAGCCTCGCTATGCCTCCTTCAGGCAGGGCCCCGGGGCCAGAGGAAGGGGTGGGGAGGGGGGAGAGAGGGAGGAAAGGGCAGATCCCGGAGTCCTCGCCCTCCACCCCCTCAGCTAAGATCTCCTCCAGAGACAGGACATCCTCTTTGACTTGCTGGGGCTGAGTCAGTAGCTTTCTCAGCACGTTCCTGACAAGATAAATGGGGAGGGGGAAGAGAGAGGAAAGAAGGCGAGAAAACATTAATATCTGTCAGAACTGCAACACATACATCCATTTCTGTGACCTGCACCCTCCTCTCTGATTACATCATCTGTCACCCTCACAGTGGAATGTGAAGTGTTGAGTCTACACTGTGTTCACACATACACACAGCGAACAGGTGGAGAGGTTTAGCCTCCAGTTGGTGTTTAGAGACGGATGGACTGAATAGAGGGGCGCACTGAATTTATAGTCCGGTAGTTTTAAGATCTTCCATCTCAGTGCCATGATAAAAGGGATGTATCTCTCTATGGAAACTCGGGGTCAAGTATGAAAGAGTGCTGACAAAGTTATTGTGATTTATACATGACTTTCTTCTCTGTGGTTAAGAGGATGAAAGCTGGCGGTTTTTCATAGACTTACAGCAGCATCTGTTGACAACACGCTGTTCTCAGATCAGATTGAGAGACACATACCTGTGTCCGTGTGAGGCAGCATGACTGAAGCAGTTCATGTCTTCATAGAGCGACGACGTGAGGGCATTCCCATCATGGGTCTTTGATAAGGGATCAGCGCCTCGTGCCAGGAGCAAACTCACCATCTCGTAGTTTCCTGGGAAGCACATAAACAGTCAATTACATACAGATACAGATCTTAAGCACCTCTAAATGGGATGTTTTAGCTCTTTCCCACTAGTGCAGTCTACATTGCTAAATAGTTAACATATCACGCAATAACTGTAAACATGTTTTATGCTTTCGTTTTAAAAGTATGTTTCCATTGCTTTATTTATAATGCAATAGTGCCCCTACACTGTAGTATTCGTTGTGGCTTTATTACATTTTACCACAGGGAGATATTAAGCTTTATCATAGTTTATTTAAGATTTTCAAACAAGCAAACACATTCATATAAGGCCTTATTTACACACTGTCATTGCTGCTATGTAGTGCATGTGTCTAGTTTACTACAGCTATGTGTGGCTTCTCCATGATCCCACAGAGGAATGCTGCCCGGAGGCTTCTAAACAACCACAGGCTGCTCTCACTCTGCCTGTAGTCACCCTCTCATTTCCTCGCTCCTCCAGCTCATTTGTCATTTACAACCAAATCCTGTGCTGCTCTTGGTGGTCTTTTGGGAAACTGGCACAGTATTGTATTTATGACTGATCATGGAGAGAGGTATTATTACATGATTTAAAGAAAGTTACAACAGCGGCTCATTCATTCATGGCTTTGTGTCTCCCTCCTAGAAACATTCTGCCTATGTCATTTAGCAGTAAGTAGTAATTTAGGTACCATGAATCACATCGGAACTCAGGCCATCTATAAATGGGATTATACTCTAACATCAGCTGTGCTTTGTGTTTTTGTGTGTACACCTGTGTGTTTTGCCCACCTGCTGCTGAAGCCAGCTGCAATGGGTTGTCTGCTGTGCTCTCCTGTCCATTGCGGACTGGGGCCCCTTCCACGTTGGCCCCTGCATCCAACAGGAGCTGGAGATACACACAACATCTGTTACACGGTGCATTGTTTGACATCTTGTCACTCATTTATGGACTGACCTCTGGCCTTACATTTGTCACTCAACTTTGAAAAGTACAACATGACATCCACAGTTATATGCAGCAACAGGAAGAAAATACCCCATGAATGCAGCGTATTGAATAAAGGGTTGTAGTTAAATGTTGTATGTGTTTCTAACCTGCACTACAGAGATGTGTCCATGCAGCACAGCGAAGGTGAGGGCTGCCCAGTGCCGACTGTCAGGATGCACAGAGGGGTGCTTCGGGGAGCATGGTGGAACCTGGCAGGCACAGGACAGATAATCAAGATCATACTCTCAAATGTAGAATTGTATGGGAACATCTAAATAAATGTGTCCATATGTTCAAGTATATTTACCGCCACGTCAAGGTTTGCCCCGGCATCGATCAACATCTGGACTAAGGCCTCGTCTCCAGCTGCGCAGGCATACATCATAGGGGTCATGCCCTGAGGGAAGAGGGGCAATGGACTCATGAAATAGGAGAAACAAGTGCTGCCTACAAATCAACTGTGAGTGTGTATGGTTAATGCTGCAGTATTTCTCTACAACCATTATACATACAGAGGCATGTATACCCTATATAAAAACAAAGAGCCAGTACCTGGTCGTCCATGCTGTTGACCCCATCAGGCCCCAGCAGATCGATAGCTTGGCCAATGAGATCTGTGCGTCCACAGTTGAGCATCCGAAAACCCAGGTCCAGGTGGAACTTGTCCGTGGCGGCCTTGGAGTCCAGACGCTTGAAGGAGCTAAAGCAACACTCAGGTCTAATAGAGAGATAGAAACAAGGATGGTGTAAGTATAACATTCCATTTGGGAGAGGTAACTAAGTGAGTCTGAGAAGATCCAACTCAGAAAGATAAAACACAAGTCATTGAGAGCCAGCAGAGTTGTGGCTCATGCACACTGCACATTTGCATCTGATAGTTCTCTTTAATTGTACACTTCATGAAGAGCCACATTACAGTCAGCGCACAGCCATTACTCTACTGTATTATGCATGTAATTATTTTTTAGCGAGAACCAATTAAATTACAAGCCTTCAGTGCAGTTGTTTTTTTCATCTAATTAGAATGATCTCAGAAGACATGAGACTCGACTAAAATTAGATATTGTCTACATTTGTGGGAAAATACAGTTTGTTATTTTGATCACAGGTGAACATAGACGTGTGTGTGTGTGTGTGTGTGTGTGTGTGTGTGGTGTGTGTGTGTGTGTGTGTGTGTGTGTGTGTGTGTGTGTGTGTGTGTGTGTGTGTGTGTGTGGTGTGTGTGTGTGTGTGTGTGTGTGTGTGTGTGTGTGTGTGTGTGTGTGTGTGTGTGTGTGTGTGTGTGTGTGTGTGTGTGTGTGTGTGTGTGTTGTGTGTGTGTGTGTGTGTGTGTGTGTGTTGTGTGTGTGTGTGTGTGTGTGTGTGTGTGTGTGTGTGTTTACTTCAGCTGTCTTGGTTCACAGTCCAGTCCTGGAAGGAGTAGCCTGGCAGTCTGTCTGACATCATCGCTGTCCACCAATAGACTCTTGCGATGCTCAGCATGAACTATGGCGACTCTCATCCACTCCATCAGAGGAGGCAGCAGCAGGAACGGCCTGTTAAAGGAACGTATACATTGTTATTGGTCTAGCTATATGCTTGGGACAAAGAAATGTATTCAGGTTTAATGTAGGAGTAGTTTAGAGAACGTCTGCATGGGAGATGTCCTCACTCGTGATTCAGTCCAGTTGAGAGAGATCTCATAAACTGTCATCAACCAGATGACATATGTTTGTCTGGCTGTACTTCCCCTCATTCTGATCAGAGTTCAGTGAGTCATATTAAACAGACAGAGCACCTCACCTCTACTAACCACACACATACGCCGACTTTTACATACTAGAACCGCGTTATCCTCATCTTACGTGCAAGCAGACACTCAAATAACAGATGTGTGTATGTATACATATATGACTAATCAGTGTTTATGTTAGTTGCCAGGTGGTGAATTTCAACATGAGTTTTCTCGGTCTGTGAGCTGTGATGGGCAGAAGATTACTGAACAATGACTTCATCGTTCTGTGGTTTGATAAAAAAAATACTGCAGCAGCTTCTGAATAATCAGCCTATTTTTAAACCAGCTGTAGCAAAATGAACCACCTAAGGGAGATGAATAAAAAGTGCAGCATTGTTTTCTAGGAAAGAAATAACCAAGTGAAGCTAAAAAGGGAAGGAATAGATTAAAATATAAATGATAGACAGGGTTGACCTGAGCATGAGGGAACGAGAGAAAACATATATTAATTAATATATTAATCAAGAAGAAGCAGTGGAACAAAAGTGGAGCGATAAAAGAGACATTATGTCTGGTGTGGTATTTGTGAACGTGACTTTCTAAAAGTCATCTGGATTTTTGGATTGCCCTCTTCTCTTTCTTCATTGTCCACGTCTTTCAACTATTATTTTAAAACTCTTCAGAGACCACTGTTGATGTGGCTATCTGAAACGCCACATCCAGCCTGTTGTCTGGTATTAATCCCAACGTCTATGTGCCTTTCTCTACCCATATGTGCCCACGAACAATGACACGTATTTGTTGCTCTGCTTTTGATCCTATGGAGCCTCAACCATAGTATGTTAATCATTGTTTGAACACTGCCTCTGTGTTACCACGAGTTACTAAGCAGCCTTTTCTCCTGCTGTGATGTTATTCTTAGCGGCGGCTTCACCTTTGTTCTAAGGAGATGCAAACACTACAATGCATAATGAACACAGATACAGTATACAAGCATATAGCTCTGTCATGTGCATGCTATAGGGATTGTAGTTACTGTTAATGAGCACTGGGAGCCCTGCAGTGCCATTTATTCTCCTAACTGTGTTTTCTTCCAGCTGCTACCTTCTGTTTTGTATAGAACAGCTCCTTCTGTACAACACCATTCTTTATCATTCATCAGTGCCTTGTTAATAATGTATAATATAAAGTCACCATTTTATCTGTAGGTTTCAAAGAGTGAATATAAGATTTTTTATAATGAAGGCCTTACAATAATAACTTTCATTCTTATCTGAATCTCAGTGTTGTTCAGACATTAAGGAGCCCACAGATACCCTGCTGTCTCCTGTTGCCGTCTATTTGATCTCTCTAGCCATTCTGTCAGATTTTGCTTCAGTACTTTATCGGTGATCAGTCAGGAGGAGGGACACCGCTGTCACCCTGGTGTGAGAGTTAACTATCAGACAAGGACTGATGGGATGAAGGAGAAGGGGGAGGTTAAATGGGTCGGATAGGTGCATATAAGGAGGGTTTGAGTGTTTGGGAAAACGGCTGGGAGGCAGGTGGGGTATGTCATAATGAAGAGGGGGTTGGGTGGCAGTTTGGAGACAGTGCTGCGGGTGTAGAGTGATAAGAAAGTCCTGCTTCTGAGGTGAGGAAGGGCAGAGGGTTTGAGAATCAATGTTATTCTTCTGTTAATGGGCTTCACTCTACACAAATTGGACCGTGTGAGTCTGTTCTTTTGGTTTGTGCATTGGTGCATGTGTGTCTGCGTCTGTCTCTGCGAATGCCACGAGGCATCCGCCCTGCTACTTTACTGCATGCTTGCTCCAAGGCACTGGCACTAATCCAGAGCTAAAGCTGCTCCAATCAACCGTATGACGCTTTTAACACTTAACGCTTATTGATCCATCAGAGAGATTTTCTCTGTCTTTTACTTCATCAATCAGCATTACACAGCCTCTGTTTTAGTGAGTAAAACACTGTGTCTCTGCATACTGAAGCGGGGAAGTGTTTTTCTTTTATGGCCAGGAATAGTGGTTTTCCAATAGAATACTTTCAGCTGCCGTTTTTTTACCTTAATTAACCTTTAATGTTGTTTAAGTGTGGTGGGTGGGGGTTGGGATGTAGAGGATATACACAAAAAGGTGCATCAACACAAATCAGCTAAGGCCATATGTGTGTGCAGACCTTTACCAGTGGCCCGTGACTGCGGACAGATGGAGCATGTCTGTACCTTTACCCACAGCTCTGACCCCTCTCTAACAATTATTCATCCCTGCTTTTTTCCTCAAACCCTTCTCCCTCTATCTAAACTTCCCCTGACCGACCCCTGTGTCTAGGTTATGCCCCTCAGCTTGAAACACAAACTTTAGCTTCATCTGAGACTCGGTGCAACATCAAAGCCAAGCCTCCTGTTAACACTGAAACTAGATAGCACTTCTGGCTAGCCTGCTGACCCGACATGCTATGGCTCCACACTGAGAACAACGGGATGTAGACCCACATACATACACTCTCCCACACATGTTCACACACACATGAACTTATAAAGCTGTGATTGATGGCGCCCTTCTCCGCACCACCTGGCTGCGCATGAACTGATAGTCGCCTCAAATTGTGGTCAGGTGTGTTTGAACTCTAACCTGTCCAACATGAAAAGCTAAGACTTTTCTTCCCAGGACATAAATGCTGTACTTGCCTGTATGTTCATTATCGTGGAGCCACAGTGATGGAGTCCATGTTGTAAGAAACTTCAATCAGGTCTCAAAGCAGACCCCATCATGCGCTGCAGAGGGGCAAGGTTAACCACTGATCCAGAGTCAGATTACTCTCATAACGGCTCCATAAGGGGGAGTGTAACTATATCTGATGTATCTGTGGTTAGACTTAAGCACCACTGGCTACTTCTTATCAGAGAAACACATCTATCCATTAGTGTTCCCTTCCATCCGCTGAGGGAGGCAGAGGGTTTGTAAGTGCTTGTTTTTGGAGTAATTGTAGCAATAAATATATTTTTTAATGACTTTCAGCACAAATAAAGTGTTTTTTTCTACATTCTGATTTAAAAAGGGGCGTGAAAAAGCAAAAATAAGTAGATAAACAGACACTGGTGTTTGGCTCTGACACTTTGTGCCATTTAATCTCCAATAAAACATAATATGTAAGAACTAAGCACCAGGATTTAAAGGATAATGATATAAAGGGCGTCTCTCTTGGTCTCGAGGATTCTGCAACACAGTTCTCACCAGGCTCCCTAACATGTTGTGGCCCACACAGATTTGGTGGTTTTGGGTTTCCACCAAAGATTTTATAAAGTTTTCAACAGAGGGTGAGCCAGAGCGATTGAGAGGCCCGGTGTAGGAGAGCGGTCTGTATTATTACCAGGCGTTCGTATTGTAATCACTACCAGCTTTGCACTGCTTTAGTCTATCACCTGAGTCTGTCACACATGCTGATATTAACAGACACCACACATGGTCGCACAGAGAAGCATGTAGGCACATAGGTGGATGCCTTGAAAGAAAAACATAAAGTCACAGATGTTTCAAAGTATACAGTATAACATGATGCTAAATCATGTCATCCTGCTCACATAAACTAGGCTGATATACACCCAACATTAAAACATATGACGACTTGGGCGAAACAGCCAGGATGGGGTAAAGAGAGGTGTGTATTTTCTGTTTGGTTCTCTTTGATGCTAATGAGGAGCCCACCTTTCTTTGCTCACTCACACTGTGCCTGTTCATTATTAAATGTATAGAAGCCAGCTGGCTTTGAGTGCATACACGTGTGTGAGAAAGATATTTTACTGATTTCCTTCTATAAACTTTTTAAGGAAGTTTGATGATATTGCTTTTGTAATACCTTTAAAATAAACTAAAAATGACACAAGAAAACAAAAAAACACATGAATTTAGAGACGTTAAAACATTGGTTGAAGAAAAAGTAAGAGCTGCATCCCATTTGTATGCTTGAGCTACCTTTAGACAGGTCTCCATACATCCTTCAAAGAAGTGTAATTAACCTTTACACATAGAGGAGCACTTTCCTCTGACATTTTTAACATATGGTTACTCCGGAACACACACGCACGTGTCTGAGTGTTTTTTCTGGGAGACAGATGTGAGGGCAGACTGGAAGTACTTTTCTCATACACATAATTGTAACTAATAATGTTAACTTACCTGACGGCCGATAATGTTTTGGTTTTATTTCAACAGCTGCTGAATATATCCATTACTTGTGTATTGTTATACAACCCATGTTCTTATCAGTTAATTTGGGAAGAAAAGAGATTTGACTCAGTTGAGTGATACTCCTTGCTTTATGTGGAAACCCAATAACATTAAACACAATTTCCCAGAATAAAGCCAACAAAAATGTGAAAATGTTGAGGTATTCTGATAAGAGTAAATCGTCTGGATCAAATGTAATTGTGACTTGCTACTTGTGTCTTCAGGCTGTCCAAATATTTTCAACCACTTTTCTCAGGACTGAAAAAAGACAATAATTAACGTAATTGTTTTACAAAGGCACGCCAAGGAAGATCTGAGGAGACCCTCATCGAATTAGAGACCATTAGCACCTCTTCAAAATGCCTTAAATCACTAGTCTTCAGCCTAATTTACATTCTGAAGCTGCGATGAACCCTTCTTTCAGACTAACATTAACACCTGGAGTCCTTCGTCACCTCTAATTAACTAACACTTCAATGACTAGGAGCAACGGAATCAGGAGGAGAGATGGTCTGTGAAAAGCTGTTCACTTGATTAGAACCTGTGTGTTAATGTCTGAGGGGGGATGTTTGTGTATTTGCATGGGTAGAATGGTGGCATTGATAACATTTCTGTCAACCAAATCCAATATTGGATAATCACAGATGTAATAAGGAGAACAAAGCATTATATGCATGAAAGGACACAAAATAATACTACAAAATTGTCTAAGATTAGATCTGTTATTTCACTAGACTTTGGTGAGCATTGAAAACGCTTGTGTCCGGCCATGCAAGACTCCTACCTCTCTTTGCTGAGTGCCATGCGTGGGGGGTCTAAATTGGGATTCTCCATGGACTCCATTTGTGGGCAGCGCAGGAAGTAGTAAAGGGTGTGGAGGGCGTCTGGCGACCAGGACACGGGCTGCTGGGGACGGGCGTGTCGGGCTGGGCTCTGTCCTGGGCGCACCGAGCTCAGACGCTGCATGTGGTGCATTGCACGGGACACCAAGTCACCTGGAACACAGGAAACAACAGACAGGTCAGAGTCAGATGGTTAAGTAGAGATTTGTTCTAGGAAATACAAAATAAATACACATAATGAACACATTTCTTTCTTGTTGGCTCCTAATAGAATTGGATGGATTTCCGCTTTTCCTAAACCACTTACAATCAACCCTCCTTTACTCTCATTACCATTGCTCCGAGTCTCTAGTGGTACTTGCCGTTGTCATTATCAGTAAGCCCCGCCAGACGTCCAGTCTAAACAGCCATTCATCCGTAATCATTGAAGGAGTTAATGGGCTAACAGACAGTTGATTACAGGTGCTAATGAACCGATCAACTGTTTCTCTATTAATGTATTTAAATCAGTGCACTCAGCATGGAAAGCTGGGCGTCAGTCACATGACAACTACAAGGTTAAGATATGGGCTTAAGTCTAGTATAAAACTTTGCAAATAATGACGTGTGAAAAAACACTGCTGTGCTGAGATAAAGACATGAGGAATATGCAGTTTATCAGAAAAGGCATCCACCCACACAGTGAGCTAAGTAGACAGCCATGCGTACTTGGATAAAGGCCAATTCAGATCACTGGATGTGTGGTTTAACATAGAAACCTACTGTACTGTAAGTAGACATGCACAAAACACAGAAAAGAGGGAGTATGGCTGCAGGGAGTAGAGCTTGTAGATAACATCCTATTGCATGAGTATGGGGTCATAGCAGGAGTATAGAGGAAAGACTAAATATCAGCTGTCACAGGGAGGGGACGTGGGGGAGGGGCAGAGAGAGGGAGCGGTAGGGAGGGAGGCCAGGTTGAACTTGGGATTGTGTAACGCTCATTTAGCATAATTGCCCCTGGGTTAATTTCTAACCAGATTACCAAGAGTGGGAGGCTGCCCGGGGGCCAAGGCTGGAGAGTGTGTGTGTGTATGTGTGTCTATATTCAGGGGTTTGGGGTACTTTGAGATGGGGGGGGTAGATTAGGGTGGCCCTCCCAAAGCAAGACCCCACTTCAAGCTGAAGGGCCTCCTTTGTGTTCACCACCACCAGCAGTCGCTCCAGGAGGTCTCCTAGGAATTCTTGCCCAAGATGGAGAGCCTCTCCTCGGCTTTCCAGCACTTATTGTGCCCCGAGGCTAAACCCAGCTCCAGGGGTCAGAAGGATATGAAATACTCCATTCTAAGATTACAGTTTATATTGGGAGTCCTCGTGAAAGCCTTGAAGTCAATCAACTTTGACATGCCAGCTTTTTCAATACATATTGACTAAAAGTGCCTCTTAGGTCAAAGTTGGAAGATAATAAAATGTTTTAAAGCAAAAAAAGATTTCAACTGTAATGTAAATCAATTCAGTAAAAAACATGTACTGATTTTATTTGGACTCAGATTGCTAATTTGCTTCCCAGGTTTTAGCACAAAGCTCATTTAATTGTTGGTAAATCCAATCCAAATCTTTAAAATGTTCTTTAATTAACTGGAAAGTCAAATACTCTTCATTTCCCATAGCTAATAAAGGCTGCTGCTAAACACTCAAATGAGTATGGACATTCAGAGCCAGTATACAGTTTACACTACATTTCCAACCATTTTGGATTTACCTGGCTGTCCAGTACCGTCCCTCCCTTCCATGTTCCATCATGTTTATGTGTGCTGTGTGTTCCTGTGTCTGGCCAGGTCCAGGCTACAGATCCAACAGCCTGAGCAGTTTAGCACAGATGCTCCTCTGTCTGCCTGGTCTCCTGGCTCAGATCAGAGGGCCAAACCCTCTGTGTTTTTGTTGTGTGCATGCATATCTGTGAACACATGCCTGTGTGTGTTGGTAGGTGGGAATGGGTGTGAAGGATGCCAGCCCTGCCCAGTACAGCCCAGCTTCACACCACCACAGAGATGTGGCACAAAGAGACCACTGAGCCAGGGAGAGAAAGAGTGTGTCTGTGTTTGAGAGTGTGTGTACACTTTCTTAATGCCTCACTAACGACGGCAGTGTATGAACGTGGCCTTGTGCCGGAGGAACAAACGGCAGAGTGTTAGCTCATTTGGAGAAGGAAACTTGCCCTCACTCTGACCAACACTAATCTCCAGGCCTCCTCCTCTCTCCCTGCACTGACAACCTCACTCTTCACCTCTCTACCTTTCCATCATTTCCCCTTACCCCCCACCCCCGAATCCCTGCTTGGGCAAATATGGACTCCATCCTTACACTTAATCCCCTAACTTTCCTACTTCCATCCCTTCACTTTGCTTCTCTTTCTCACTTTTTAATGACCCGGTTCCAGCTCTCCATCATCTGCCAACTCCAGCAGAGCCTAAACAAACCAGATGTACAGTACAGTACAGTACGACTGTGTGTGTCTCCATGCCGCTCTGTTTACCAACCATGTGTATGAAACATGGTCATCATCATTAAAACTCTGAAAAAAGTACCAATGAGGTCCTTCACCTCTCAGAATGTAGACTTCCCCTGACTAGATGCTTATGTGAAGTCTCAGAATTGAAAGAGATATTTGAATTTAACACCAATCACAACCTCACACAGTGTGTAAATCAAACTGAAAATGCAGCTTTAAAACAGAGAGGCATTCAAAGCTTCTGTGAAATACCCAGTACCATGTACCAAACAAGATATATCACTTAAACAAATACAGCACATCTTTTTTTCCAGTTGACTAACTTGACTGAGATAGTTCCTTGACACACAATGCTTAGAAAAACAGACAAAATACAATCAGGCACAATCACTTTCCTCTCCAGAGCTTGTGTGTAAAGCAAAACTGTTCCATTGGATATTTTCTAAGACTACGCATAAGATAGCTTTCGCAATAAGACACACACTGAGGGCTTATCACCAGACAGAACAAACAAAAAACGATATTATTTTATCTTGGCTTGGCAGAGAAAACAGGCTTTTCGGGTGAAAACACGTTATCTGTCTTCCAGAGGCAGTTCACAATGTGAAAGTTCCAATGTGTGTTTAGACTACGATCAAGTCTTTAAAAAATACAATTAGTTTGGCAATTTCTGGGAATGTTTACTTGTCTGTAATAATAAGATGTTTAATAGCTTAACTTTTTATGATTTCTTCAAAGAGCTCAGAGGTATTTCACAGATGAAACACTTGATAGGAACATAATCTGCTGATAATAAGTAGGACCAGGACCACACACACATCTCTGAGCTATGTGTACTCACTGAGTTCAGAAATGCTGCCCACACAGGTAGCCAGCAGGGACTGTTCCAGCGTCCTCAGCTCCAGCTGGGCATAGGCATCCTCCCTGCTGTCCGCCGACATCTGATGGTTCTCCGTGTACGGACTGAAATGGGCCGGGAGAGACAAAACACCTACAGAGACAAAAAACAGAATGATTAACATGATACTTCTGTGAGCGGTGCTAACAAGCCTGCATAACTTTCGGCAACATCCATCCACACTGCTTCTGCAGAAGTCCCAAAACAACTGCTGCTGGTATTTACATAGTGTATTTGTAATCCTGGTAACATGTAACCCCACACCGCTGAGGGCAAATAAACACACAAGGGAACACGAGCCTTGCTCTCAACACGTTTGGGAAAATAAACAGAGCACTAATGCAAACAAAACAAATGCACACTGCATCATAAGCAGGCGGAGGGCCAACAGAAAGGAATATCACAGACTAAAATCAAGTTAGAAATCCAGATTATGCATTTCCCTTTAATCCATAAACATTAGGTTTACAACACACGCTCTACATGCTTGATTCATACTTGTCATATCTGTAGATATCTGGAGGAACGAGTTCCAGAATAAATATTATGGCTAAAGTTAATGTAAACAAAGGTTTGGTAATGGTTTATATTTTGGATGTCATCAATCAAGAGTTCTAAAAGGGTCAAAGACCACCAGAAGTCCAGGACCCTTACAGACCTACTCTGACCTATATTACACTTAGACAAACACACACAGTGACACATACACACACTGATGAAGAAACTAACACATGTGGTTAAGAAGGAGGATATGCAATGTGTTTCCACACCTTCGCTCACACGTACAGTACAAGGTTGTGCGGATGGGCTTTTCATTCTCTGCACTGGTTGACAACATGTAGTGTTTGATGCACTGAATAACAACACTTCAAGATACTTTAAATATGATTTAAAGAAAGCATGAGTGGAAAGTAACTTTGTTTTGAGTTCAGATTTGTATTAAAGACCAAAATATGTGCCCTCTGGCAGACCCTGTCATCCAGACAAACTGTATGCTATATGTTAGGGAGAAGCTTTGGAAATCTGTATCCGAACTCTTCGTAAATTCTGACAACAGACAGATAACAATATGTTGCAGTTAAACACCAAGTCTGCTCTTTGTTCCTCACGACGGCTGGTTGTCAAACGTATTGCTGGTATAGAGCTAACATCCTATTATATAACCCGTATGTCCTCCTGCTCTTTCACTGCTGTAACTCTCTTCTCATTGGTTTTCCAAATAGAATGGATAGAAATAGAGAGCATAGGCTGGTGTTTTCTGCCTCTTAGTATCTCTCAGCTGGCTGTTAGCTCCCACACCCTCATTAGCTCAGTCTGGAGCAATGTGTGGTTGTCTAAGAAGCAGAGCGTGTTGCTAGTTACTGTGCACCGCGTAGCTGCCCAAACGGTAACCTTTATTTTGGCTTCAGTAAGAGAAGAGAGCCCTCCGCCAAGCCAGGGGAAATGAGTGGGTGATGGCTGATGATCGAAAAACATTAACGGTTAAGAGAAAAAAGAATTGTGGCAGGTTTTACAAAGCCTGAGGAAAAGCCTCATCATCTCAAACTCTCCCTTCCCTCCCACAAGGGAAACGATAGACTGCCATCCCTGAAATGACATTCCCATGTGCTTCCGACAAGAGGTGTCCTCTATCGGAATCTGAGAGGGACGTTGAAAAGAGTAACAGATGATGTGTAGAGACACATTCATATAACTCCAAAGTCTCTTCTTTTCAGCACTCATAGATACAAGAGAATCATTTATGAAGAGCAGACTGAAGTTGGGCAAAGGGCAAAACATTTTAACCAGTAAACTGAAATACTTCTTTCCTGACAATACATACTCTGCACTGTGTGTGTGCTATGGCTGAATGTGATAGCACTGCAGTAAACATGTCTGTGCTAAAGATTAAGCAAGTTTCAAGCAATACCTGCTGCAGGGAGTCTCCCAGGTATGCATCAAAGGTGTGCCCACAATTTGACTAACAAGTATACACAAAGCTCAGCGAGTGACCATTATAACTCCTCCAGATCTCCCAAAGCAGACAGTGGACATATGGCTTGTGGTTTGCTATGCTAGAAAGTGTGATATCATCACAGTTTGGACACTTAATAGACTGCCTTGTTGCAAAACGTGTGCTGGATGTTGCATTGAGCGGTTTCAGTTGTTATAAGTGAGTGTGGACAACTGTCTTATCTGCGAGTAAACACTGATGAATCTATTCTGCAGAGTGAGGGCTCTGTCTAATATAAGATCACTGTGCAAATACACTACACACAGCAGGAACCATCACAGAATGAAATGCAACATGGTGTTGACTGTGTATACAAAGCACACATAGTATTTTACAATAAAAGGAGAGGTACGTTATGACATGTAAAGGACTATATCGCATGCGCTGGATGTATACATCATCCAGGCTGTATATCAAATGCTCTATAAATAGTGAAAGGGAGTTATTATTGCAGAGAGTTGGAGGTACATGATATGTTGACTTCCTAAAAACAAAGCCCAAAAGCAAGGGAGAAAGTCACTTTACTCAACAGTAGTACTTCATACATGAGGAACACATTGATATAACTAAATATATGTTGACTCCAGTAAAGTTATGCTGCCAAAGGGAATTTGGTCTCATACAAAAAGTGTAACCCCCCCCCCCCCCCCCCCCCCCCTTTCCAGTACTTTCTCTGCACCATCTGACTTGTATAATATGTGCTGACTCCTGCTTCCAACACAATGGAAACGGCTGCCTCTAGCAGAGTACGGCTGCTACAAAGAGCATGTGCGTCAGACAACCACACCGTACACAAGCTTCAACGCATCCCTGTTCCCTCACGCACACACAAACATCCCCATACACCCGTGTTTGTGCATATAAAGTATGTTTGCACCTCTTTGATGTGTCACTTCAGGTATTTTGGTAATTATAATGAGGGCTATGCTTTTGCAGATTGTCAATCATTCCTTAAATTGGATATAACCGCAAATAAATGTGGGGTGAAGCATGTGGAGCTCTAGAATGTTCATATGACCTTGTGAGGATCTCTCATCTCCCAATTAATTACTAATAAGTCCTCAGACTTTTTTTTCTCAGTAAAATAGGTGGACATTTTTCCATTGTTGTATTTTCAAGAGACCCCTAGCAAATTGAATTAGTGTGCTCCTGAACTGCCTTCCTGTGCATACACCACCTTGTTTTATGACCACCATAACTAAAGTGGCCTCCATAATAGAGTAGGTGTTACTGTATGGGACATGTAATATGAATACCTCATTCAGAAATGGCTTGATTCCAACTCATGTCAGAGAGAGTCATGGCCCCTGAGGTGTAAGACCCATTTTGAGAGACTCTTTGCCATTCATGTAGGTGAGGGTTTATGGAAAAATATATATATTTCGTGTGGGCAAAATGAAGGTCTGTGCAAGACTGTGTGTCTATGGGACTGAGGAAAAGTGTGCACATGTATTTAGATGTACTGACTTACTGTAGTGTGTTTCACCAAGAACGGCACACTGAAGTTATTCCAGTCTTCAAATTCGACTCTACTAAATGGTTCAAAATAGAAACTGAATAATACCTGGAGGACTAATTAAACCAGTATAATGAACCGGTAAACAGTATGTGTTCAGCAACCATTAAAAACAACCCCCTCAATTTGCTACTTTAAATAATACAAGACAACTAGGCTACAATGTTCAATTAATTATTTAAATGTCCAGCTCCTGAAAAAATATCATACTTGAAATCCATAATAAGACCTTGATTTGATGTACTTTGACATGTTGTGTTATTGCTTTTACAGAATAATCTTTAGCCTATATTTAACATGCCTAAAACTGACATAGACAAAGGGTAATTTTAAGAAATGTTAATATATTTTCTTTTGATTGTGCCATGTTCCTTTAAAGCTGCGGCAATATTCACGCACCACCACACTCTCAGTAGTTCCCACAGTCCCACCCCGCTGCTTGCTTCACCGCTGAACCCCAGCCTGCGTCATCTGAGCCCGATGAAGGTCCGCCAGCCAACCAGGGCCTGGCCCACCACCACCACTAATATCACAAGCAGCTAAAGCACTATATGCATCATTTAATCTGGCAATGGAAGAGGTTAGGGATAAGACAAAGAGGAGGGGATGCGAGTAGAAGCTGAGAGGAGGAGAGGAAGCTTTGGTGGAAGACAGATGAGTCATGCAGAGGAGGGATGTAACGGAGACTGGGGAAGGGGAAGACAAGTGGCACAAGGGATTCATTCTTTCGCGGCCATTATGGTTTTATTTTGTGAGGTTCACCCTACGAATGTCATGTGGGAATCCTAGCTACAAATCACGGCTGAAACTCACCACCAGCCTGCGGCGGTCCCCGTCCCATCCAAACTATCTCTCAAAACCACAACAACTCCTCCTAGCTCAGCCGAGCAATCACTCACAATCATGTTTGACACGCTGCCATAACAAGGTCCAACAACTACTTTTTTTGTTATGCTGAAAGTTCTTGAAACTTTGCCCAGGTGGGCTGTCACTCTCAATTAGAAGTTTTTATGAGACGTATGACATTCAAATCTATTGTCTGGAAATCATAAAACGTTTAACTGTGACATGGTGATAGAATGGGCCAGGAACACAAAGCTACGCTAATGGAACACATTGTGTTTAACATAGGCCTTGACTCGAACTCTTAACTGCTCTTTTGATATCCCACGGTCTAATGGCAGAATATGTTCTTTCGCACAAGCTTGGTAGCAGAATTAGGGTAAAAAACGACTTTGGAGGACTTTGGAGGACATAACTGCTTATCATGCATACTTTTTCAGCAAATATTTGAAAGATATGTGGGTTTCACCTTCAATAACCAGCCAGAAAAAACAGCTCCAAATGCTCAGACCATGGCAAAACCTCACAGTATAACGTTTGGGATGTTCATTTCTGAAGCAGCTAAGGACACTGTTCACCATGCAAAGCTTCTATTAGCATAAATTGTACATATTTTGTAATGAATTTAACCTTCAAAACACTTGTATCAAAGTTGGGTTCTTACATTAGAAGAATACTTTAGGACATGAGGGGGTAACACATACAAATATCTTGCAATAAGTAAGGTCATAAAGCTACGGC